TTTTAGATATGTCATCCATCATATTGTGATTGAACTAGTACGAGTTTTCCTTTTTTTTGGAAAAAATAATAAAATAATTTTTTTTATATAAATTTTAAAAGAAACTCTTTTTTTTTTTAAAATTTCCTTATAAATATTAATTATAGAGAAACAAAAATTTAATTTTTTTTTTTTTTTTTTTTTTTTTTTTCAAAAAATTTTATTAATTTTTATTTTTTTTTTTATTTTTTTTTATTTACCTTTAAATGATAATTAATCAACAGTGAAACTTCACCTTATTGATTATTCAATTTTTTTATTTTTTTTATTATGTATATCATCATATAAATATGTAAAAAATTTTCAATTTTATTATAATTATAATTTTATTATTTTTTTTTTTTATCACACACCCAATATAAAAAGTTTTATGTGTGTGAAGTGGTGCATTAATATAATTTTTTTTTTTTTGTATGAATTTTAACAACAGCGGATTTTTTTTTATTAAAATATTTTGATATACTACAAATATAATTAATTATTATTATTATTATTTTTTTTTTTTTCAAATAATATGATGTACAGACACATAGAAAAATTTTTTTTTAATTTTTAAAAAATAAATTTAATTTAAAATAAAAAAATTAATATAATAATTATTGTTATATTAAATTTTAATTTTATTTATTTTTTTTTATTTTGTTTTTAATTTTTATTATTCATTATGTTCAAAAAATAATTTTTTAAATAATCATTATAAACTAATTTCATAATTTATGTATATATAAAAAAAAAAAAAAAATAATTATAAAAAATAAATTATATAAATAAATATTTCTGAGGAATAGTAACTAGTTATTAATTAATTAGATATGTCACATCAATCACAATCACATTTTTTTAATGATGTATTGAATAATAATAATAATAACAATAACAATAATAACAACATCATTAATAATGCAAATATTGAAAATCCATATATTGCAGTAAACAATAAAATTACACCAGAAAATGTAACTTCAACAAATTTAAATCAAATAGAAAAGGCTGTAAAAGTAGCAAATTCTCAAAATCTTGACTTGGCTCTCATTGGTAATTGTTCTTTCGGTGCTTTGATAGATAAAAAGTCTTGCATTAAATGGTGCTGTATTCCAAGATTTGATGCCGATCCAATTTTCTGCTCATTGGTTAGAAAATCTAATGACTCTGGTATATATTCATATTTATTTTTTTATTTATTTGTTTATTAATTTTATTTTTTATTTTTTATTTTTTATTTTTTATTTTTTATTTTTTATTTTTTATTTTTATAGGTTTCTATGATGTAATTGTTGAGAACTTTGCATTTAGCGAACAAAGTTATATTAAAAATACCGCTGTTTTATCAACAAAACTTTATAACAATAATGGAGGAGGTGTAGAAATTATCGATTTTGCTCCACGTTTTAACATGTTTTCCAGACCATATAGACCATCAATGATTGTCAGAATCATTAAACCATTGGGAAACTGCAGAATCAAAGTTAGATTAAGACCAACTTTTGGGTAATTATAAAATTAAATATTTTAATTTATATTAGTAATAATAATAATAAAATAATATTCTAATCTATTGTTTTATAAAATATAGTTATGGTTGGGGTGCACCAGAAAAAACTAGGGGTACAAACCATGTCAGATACATTCTACCATCAATGGTAATGAGACTCACAACCAATGCTCCAATTTCATATATTGTAGATGAAGTATTGTTTGAAGTCGATGAAACTCTTTATTTCGTTTTTATGGCTGATGAAAGTTTAAGAGAAAGTCTTCATGATATGACTAATACTTATTTAGATAAAACTATTGAGTATTGGCACGAATATACCAAATCTTTAGCAGTAAGTTATGGGAAATATGATCTAAACAAATTTAGTCACTTATATATTTATTAATTCTAATTTTATTTATTCTATAGATTCCATTAGAATGGCAGTCTCAAGTTTTAAGGGCATGTATTACCGTTAAACTATGTCAATTTGAAGAGTCTGGTGCCATTATTGCTTCGATTACAACATCAATCCCAGAAGAGCCAAGTAAAGAAGGTTATGATCTAAGATTCTGCTGGATTAGGGATACATCTTATATCGTTCATACATTCAATAAATTGGGTAATACTAAAATGATGGAGGATTTCCTTACATACATTTCAAATATTGTATCTGGTTCATTAGAAAGAGGTGGTTTTCTTCAACCTGTATATGGTATTTCTTTAGAAACCAAACTTTATGAAAAGTCAATGTATAGACTTGCTGGCTATAGAGGTTTGGGTCCTGTTAAAATAGGTACAAGAGATTACAAAACAATTCAAAATGATGTTTATGGTCAATTAATCTTAGCATCTGTTCAAATGTTCTTTGATCAAAGATTAAATAAACCAGGTGATATTCAGTAAGTATATATTAAATTAATATTTGAATTTAAAAGGTTATTAATATTCTTTATTTTTTTAATATAATCGTTTAGTTTATTCCATAAGTTAGAAGGTTTGGGTATGCAGGCTTATACAAACTATAATAAACCAGATTGTGGACCACTTGGTAATGGTTCCATTGAAGATGGAAAGATCTATACCTTTTCATCATACATGTGTTGGATTGGTTGTGATAGATTAGCTAAAATTGCAAAAAGTTTGAAGGTTCCACTTAGACAACATTTTTGGCAAGAATCAGCAAACAAGATCAAGGAAGAAATACTAGAGCGTTGCTTTAATAAAGAATTAAACTCATTTACCTCAATTTGGGATGGTGATTCAGTTGATCCATATCTTTTATTAATGGCTGAGTCTGGATTCATTGGTATTAAAGATCCAAAATTCATTGGTACAGTAGAATTATTAGAGAAAACCCATAGAAAAGGCAAATATATCACCCAATCAATGGATAGTAACAGTGCATCAACAACATTCACTCTCAATTATATTTCATGTCTTGCCAAAATGGACAGAGCTGAAGAAGCTAGAGAGCTCTTTGAAAATATTTTAAATGACTGTACACCATTAGGTCTAATTAGCCAAGATGTTAATCTTGAAACTAAAGAAATTTGGGGTAATTTCCCAAAAACAACTTCAATGGTTGGTATTATCAATGCAGCACTTTGTTTAAGTAAACCATGGGATGCTGAAATTTAAATTTATATTTTGGAAAAATTAATTTAAAAAAAAAAAATTAAAAATATATATAAAAAGAAATAAATAAAAAAATAAAACTTATAATAATAAAAATAGATAATAATATAGTATTATAATAAAATTATTTTTTTTAAAAAAATATATATAACCCCTTTATTATTTTTTTACCCCCATTTTTTTAATCAAATCTAATTTTTTTAATTTAATCTATAATAGAATGTTTTAAATAATTAAAAATATTTATTAACCAATCAATTGATATTATTTCCTTTCATCTATTTTATATTAATATTTTACATCATTTTATTGGGATTATAAAAAATTAAGATGGTAATAGTTATAGAGTCAGATCCATTCCTTTTTCTTTATCTAAAAAAAAAAATATCAATAATAGAAATAATTTTAAATAATTTTTTTGTAAATAGATTTTTTTTTTAAATATTTTAACAATATTATATTTTTTGACTTTTTTTTTCTCTATTTATATATATACGTTAAATAAATTTTAGATAATTTTTTAATTTATAATAATTTTTATTTTTTTATTTATTATATTTTTTTTTAAAAATAATTTTCCCATGTTTTTTTTTCTTTAATTTTTTTTTTCGTTATTAATTAACAATAGTTTTAATAAATGAGTAAAAACTAAAAAGAATAGTAACCATCTCAATTTATTATTTTTTTTTATAAAATAAAAAAAAAAAATGGTTTTTGTTTTTATTTTTTTATTTTTAATAATATATTTTTTCCATAAACTAGTATGTATTACTACTATTTTTTATAAAAAAAAAACTCAACAAATTTTTATTAATTATTAATAATTTTAGCTTAGGAGTCAATTTTTTAACAGTAATAAAAACGAATCATTCCTTCAACAAATACCTGGTCCATTTAACTTTCCTATTATAGGAGGAGTTTATTTATTAGATAGAAATAATTTACACTTATCTTTTGACAAATTATATAAAAAGTATGGTAAAATTTTTTCAATCAAATTTGGTGTTGTAAATACAGTAGTTTTAAATGAACCAGATATTATTTTTGAAGCTTTTCATAAAAATGCCAATTTTTTCAGTGACAGATATATGCTACCTTCTATCAATATATTAAGTGGAAATGGTTCTAATATAGCCTTTTCCAATGGAGAGTATTGGAAAAAAATAAGATCGGAATTTAGTTCATTAATTACTAAATCAAAAAATAAAAATTTAGAAACAGAATTTAACAAACATTATTTTAATTTTGAAAATTTTTTATCAGGCTATATTAAAAAGAATGACACTGTAAGTATTGTTAATATATATATACCCTTTATTGTATTTTTACTAAAATTTATTTAATTTAGATTTATATAAAACCATTTATTATGACATATACATTTAATGTTGTATATGGTTTGATTTTTAATGAATCGGTAGAATATGAACAGGAATTAATACCTAAAGAAATTTCCGATTTTATCCAAAGCCTATTTGACGTTTTAAAAGAAACCACCCTTTGCCCTGATTATTTACCTTTTTTAATATATTTTAAAAATGTAATTATTGCTATTATTTTATTTTTTTTTTTTAAATTATTAATTTTTAGATTTTTTTTTTTTTCAAATATATAGTACGATCATTTAAAAGAAATGACAAAAAAAATGATAGCAAATGTTAATCCTAAAATCAAAAAAATATTAAATGAAATGGATGAATCCAAGTATGTATATTGTATAGATGTTTATATCCACGGATTATTATACTAATTTAAATTTTTAAGCCCTAAAACACTTTTAGAAAATTTAATAGTCTCTATAAAAAATGACAAAGATAATATTTTAAAAATAGAACATTTAGACCATATTGTTGTAGATTTAATATTAGCAGGAATGGAGACAACAGGAGGGGTTATTGAATGGATGGTTTTAAACCTAACAAATAATATAGATATCCAAAATAAACTATATAAAGAATTATTAAGCAACAATTTCTTATCTTATCCATCTATAAATGAAGCCTCTAACTATCCATACTTCAATGCTTGTGTGAAAGAAACAATGAGAAGATCACCAATAGCATCAATGGGACCCCCAAGGCTATGCACAAAGGATATCGAGATTGGAGGTTACATTATTCCCAAAGGAACCCAGATATTTTCGAATCTTTACTCTTACTCATTTTCAGAAAAGTTCCATAAAGATCCTTTTTTATTCAAACCAGAAAGATTTATAGAGTGTCCAAACACCCCTATTTTAATTTTTAATTTAGGATCGAGACAATGCCCCGCTAAAGGAATGGCTGAGAGTGAAATATTTGCATTTGGTACCAAATTATTTAAAAAGTTTTTGTTTACATCACCAAACGATCAAGTAATAGATGACAAACCCCTATTCCACGTATCTCTAACACCCAAAAAGTGGTTAGTTAAAATAACAGAAAGATAATTTTACCAAATAACCTATTCAGATTGATTTATTTAAATAAAAAATAAATTATAAATTTCTTTTTTTCAAATTGAAACTAAGAATATAATAATTTTTTAAAAAAAAATAATATTTTACAAAAAATATTATAAAATTTTTTGAGATATCATTATAAAAAACTTTATATTTAAAGAATACCTTTATTAAAAATTAACACCATATTAAATCTTCAATGAAGTAGTCTTTAGCATTATCTGAAGCTCTAATTAAAGAATTGAATGGCGGATCTAAAACAACTCTTTGTGAAAAAGATGGTGTTAATTGAGGTTAATCTATACAAATCACATTTTTCATTATATTTGTTCTTTAAATTATTAAACTTCTAATTGAATTTTATTGGATGCTAAAGACTGCTTCTTTTGAAGATTTAATATTATGAATAAAGTAATATAAATAAAAAAATTCATAAAAAAAAATTTTATTTAAAAACAAAAAATAAAAATTAAATTTTAATTAGTAAATTTACTAATTGATTGATGTTTATTATTAAATGGTGAAAAAATTTGCTATTGTATTACTATGAGACGATATAAAATAAGTGAAGTACTTATAAATAGAAGAAAATGGGTGAAAATATTATAAAATTTTATTTTTTAAATTTTATTATTAATTTAAAAAAAAGCTATTTTTTAATATTTCAAAAATTATAATTATAAAAAATATCTTATAAATAGTTTTTATATCACTTTTGTAATAAAAAGTATAATTAAAGCCAATTATCTGATATATTTTTAATTAAAAATTTTTTAAATAATTTAATATATTTTTTCTAATTATTTTTTGTATAGAAGATTGATAAAAGTTATATAAAAAATATGTAATAAATGTAAGGAATTATTAAAAAACTATATTTATTGTATAAACTATGGATTTAGCAACATTAAAAAACAAATAGAACATTATTTTCATAAAAAATATAAAAAAAAAATAAAGGGAAATTGGAATATTGGAGTAGCTTCAAAATAAATTTATTCAATTAGAATTAAACTAAATAAAGACTAAAATTTTTATTTTAATAATTAATTTACCCTATTTTTAAAATCATTTTTTTCAATGTAATAGCTTACCTAGGCAATATGGATATCAATCGAGTGAGAATTTTATGAAATTTTTAAATCAAACATAGATTTAATTAATATTTTAAATCTAAATTTTAAATAAAAAAATAAGGTAGAAATTATTATTTTATCATAATTATAAAGAAAATAAACAATTGTTTTTTTGTTTTATTTTTTTTTTTTTAATTGTTTATAATTTTTTAATTTTTTAAAAAAGAGTCTTTAAAAAAATTTTTTTTTTTTTTAATTAAAAATTATAGCTTTACAACACACACATAATTTTTCATTCATCAGCTTTTTTTTTTTTATAATAGCATTCAAATAATAATATTCGTTCATTTTTACACACCTTTTTTTTGTAAATAATATTTATCTTTTTTTTGTAAATATTTTTTTGTATATTTTTATATTATATTTTTTTTTGTACATTTTATTTGTAAATAATTTTTTTTTTCAAACAAAATGTATGAATTTTTAAACTTGTGTGTTTATTTATTTTTTGTTGGTACCATCTGTTGGAAGTTACCATCTTTTATTGGTAAATTCAGATTCAATAACACAAAAAGAAACAACAAAGAAAAAGATGACTGCCAATGTTGGAACAGTGAAGACAATTACTGGGCAAGTCAGGTAATCCAACAAACCCTACTACAAGAACCACAAGAACACCTCCAACTCCTCCAAAGCCTCCAAAAACCCCAACTACTCCATCTTTACCAAGAGCAAAAACACCTCCAACAACCTCAACAACCTCAACAAAACCAAGAGCACCAGAAACTCCCATCTCTTCAACCAAAAGAACCAGAAAAACCACATCAATCTCAAACACAGCAATCCCAACGACCAATTCCACAAAGACCAATCCCATTCATTCAACTAATTCGTCAGCAACCCCAACAGCAACCACCACAACAATCACAACAACCAATTCCATTCATCCAACGAATTAGTCAGCAACCCCAACTCCAACAACCACACCAATCCCAACAACCAAAACACCCACAACAATCACAACAACCAATTCCACAGAGACCAATCCCATTCATCCAGCTAATTCGTCAGCAACCACAACATCAACTACCACAACAATCACAACAACCAATACCATTCATCCAACGAATTAGTCAGCAACACCAACCACAACAACCAATTCCACAACAACCAATTCCACAACAACCAATCCCACAACAACCAATCCCAAAGCAACCAATTCCACAACAACCAATTCCAAATCAACCAATTCCACAACAACCAATTCCACAACAACCAACTCCACAACAACCAACTCCACAACAACCAATCCCATTCATTCAAAGAATTCGTCAGCAACCCCAACCACAACAACCACAGCAACCACAACAACCAATCTCATTCATCGAACGAATTTGTCAACAACTCCAACCACAACAAATTCATTCAGAACCAACACAACAACCCCAAACCCAAAATGCTCCAATAAAGCCAAATGAAATTGATTTATCTTTGGTCAATTCAAATGGAAGATTAAGTCTAGATCCAACTCCATTGAATGAAACAGAAAAGGCATTAATACGTTTAAATGAACGTATCGAACTTTATCAACTAATGCCAAAAAAGGAAATCCCAGGTGATGGTAATTGCCAAATGCATGCGCTATCAGACCAGATATTTGGTGACTTGGAGCATAGTGTAATAATAAGAAATAACATTGTCGATTGGCTTAGACAAAATAAAGGTTTTTACCTTCCAAATGGAGAAACCCTCTCAGACTTTGTAACTACAAACAGTTGGGAGGAATATTGTAATAGTATGTCCCAAAATGGCACATGGGGCGATCATTTAACATTGGTCGCTGCAGCTGAGATTTATAAAATAAATATTTCTATAATATCTTCAGTTGAATCCCAGAGTAGTTCTTTCATAGAAATTACTCCAAGCATTAAATGCCAGAATGGAATTTTGTTATCCCATTTTGCAGAATTCCATTACGGTTCTTTATGCCCATTGGCTAGTTAAACCATTCTATCGGTAAGTTATTTTATTTTCCCACTATTTTTTTATTATAAACTATTTTATATTAATTCATTTTATTTAATACATTAAATTTTAGCAATTTTCAAGCCATTTTCAAGTAATATACAAATAATCTAAGCCGTCTCTAGCCAAGTTATAGTATCACTACAGTAAAAATCTTATTTTTATTGAATATTAAAGTATGGATTCATTTTTTGAATTTTATAAAAAAAAATTTTTAAAATTTCTTTCAATTTTTTCCGAACAATGACCGGTCAATTATAATAATTTTAAAAGCTTTTAAATATAAGTAAGTAAATATGCACATTATTTTACAAACAAAAACAATTTATTTAGATATGGGATTTATTAGTTAAATATATGAATTACTAACACAAATTAATTTTTTTAATATTTAGTGTAAAATCTGGACAAAATTGCAGTGTCTTTTTAATCGGGTAGTTTCATCAAACTCCAGTTTTTTTTCCAAGTGTCTGTTCTATAACATTTGTTCATAATATTATGAAGTTGCTATTCTTTTTGGTAGTGATTGGGAACCCAAATGGATTTTTAACTCAAGATTATGCAAATTTCTAACTAATCAAGTAACCAATGAAGCTCATCCAAGCTGTCAAGTAACTAATGGTAGACTTCATCTATCTACTCAACTATTTTATTAATATCATTAATTGCTCTGGCCAAGCAACTATGACCATAGAAATCAAATAGTTTTAGGAGAAGAGAAACTGAAGCTTCGGTGTAACAATTAATCAAACTAGGGAAACAGTCACAATGGTGTTATTTAATCAAATATATTTTAAAATGCTCTGTAAAGGAATTAGTATCTGATTGAGGTAGTTTCATAAATAAAGTCTCATTTCTGCATGAATGTAAATTTATAATTAGACTTATAAATTACTAAAAATTTTCAAATAGAGATTCTCCGGTGGTTGAACACTTTATCAAGTGTAACCAGTACCTCAATTAGTAAAGAAGATCCAAACACAATTAGACCAATCAATATTTTTAAAAAACCAAATTAATAAAAATTAAAATAAAAATTATCTAAATAAATAATAAATAATTCTGGAAATTAAATATAAAATTATTTGTTTGTAAATTTATAAATTTTTTTTTTTAAAAAATCTAACTTATATTATTAGTGTAGTTTTTTGGATGTGTATAATGAAAATGAATTAATAACATATACCAATGTATCTCTTGGGTACAACATGTGTCTTTTACTCACTTCAATTTTTTCTGAACAGATATCTGGTTTATTAATAAAACAATTAAAAGAATGTGTAAATGGTTCAACTCCAACCATAATTATTACTGAGCTTGGAGGTTAAGCAAAAAGATAACGAGAAAACAATTCCTCATTCCCATCAAAAAATTCTGAATTTAATATTTTTTATTCATCAAAATTAACATCAAATACCATTATCCAACAAATAAAAAATGGACTGAGAATTCTATAGAAGAAATGTCACCTTTTAAAACCTTTGGTCAATATGTTTATGGAAAAAACTATGATACTTTACAATATTAAATCAAAATATTTTTAGATCATTAAATAAATAAAATGTTTATTTAAAAAATAAAATAGTATTTTATTTACAAAATTAAACTATATATTAATAAAATATATAAATTTTATGACTATTATTACTGCTGTTACTATATTATACTGTTATTATTATTTACTAAGTGAGCAACCTAAATCAAATGATGAAGGAGTTTGATACAATTTTCTTGGTGTTTTTAAAATTGGTGAGTTACGATTAATATTATCACAAGTATTTTTTCTAACTTTTTGTTCTATAATATTTTGAATTCTTGGTTTTACAATTGATTCACCATCGAGTTTTAATAAAACAGTATCAGACAAAGCGGTGGCGGTAAAAGTACGATGATTTTTTAAATTTGGATCGCTATCTGAAGGTCTTTTATAAGCAGTTTCACCAAAGAAATCACCTACACCCAACATTGTTATAATACTTTTATTCCTTTTACTTGAAATTCTAACACGACCTTTCTTGATAATATACATACAATCACTTTCGTCACCTTCATTAAAAATAGTTTCGTGATCTTTAAATGGAACATCTTTAGCACCGTTAGCTATACTGTCAACTTCTTCTTTGATGATGTACTGAGTGATATTGTGTTGGAATGCTCTGGTAATAGCATCACGACATGAATTAATATGAGAGAGGTCCATATGAACTTTTTGAATAAATTGATAGAGAGATGAATGGAATTCACTTCTAAGATCGCTAGTCTTCCAAACCAATAGACAAACATCAGTTTCAGCAACGACAGTGGCAGAAGCATTGATAGACTTATCAAGTTGCAAAGCACTTTCACCCAAAGTTTCACCAGCACATAGTTTAATTGATGGTGTTTTTTCTGAACTATTTTTGATAAGATCCCACTCTTTTTCATAAACCAATACCTTTCCACTTAGTATGATATAGAATGAATCCGATAAGGCATTCTTTCTAATAATAACATCATTTCTTTTAACCCAAATCTTATTACAGAGATAAAACATTCTTTGAACCTCCAATGGTGAAAGTTTTGAAAATATATTACAATTGTTTAAGGCCATTTGAATTTGAATACACTCTGAAATACCTTTGTACTTTCTATCAACCTTGATAACTTCTGTATTCTCTAAGCCTTCTTTAGGTCTAACGATTTGATCTTTGGTATCTATATTATGACTACAATGAACCACACGAATTTTTTTCCTGATATCCTCTGGTAATGCTAATAGATTGGTAATTGGTGTATGGATTGGTGCAACACCACTTTCATGGATAATCATATCGGCATCAAATACAAAGTTCTTTAATCTTTCAATTCTTGTGTCTGATAATTCTCCTTTTTCTTTTAATTCTTTGAATTTGTCCAAATCATAAAATGTGTCTGCGGAATAGCTAATCTTTTTACCATAGATTTCTAGTTTAAATCTAATTGTTGGGATGACATGAAAACTATAATCAAATTCAAATTCTAAAATTTAAAAAAATAAAAAAATTAGTATTAATTTTTATTTTTTAATAAAAAAAAAACTTTGTATTACTTACCAGCACCTAAAATTTTAATTTTATTTCCAATTGTGACAGGTACCCATGTATAATAACTTCTTAAATATTTCTTTTTTGTTCCAGTTAAAGCCTTTAATTTTCTCATATAGGACTCGTTAATTGTTTTGGTAGTATATAAAGTGACTTTATTTCTTTCGATTATCTTTTGAAGAATACCAGAATCGTGATCTGCATGGCAATGAGTTAAAATGATATGCTCCACCTTCTTTCCGTAAATTCCATTCTCTTGAAGATAAGTAGTGTTTCCAACTGGTGGATCTACGACAACACCACTACCATTTATCCAAATGATAAAACCGGTGGTATGAGATCCAAAATTAAAATCTAAACCATGGCTAACACCCAAAAATGTTACACCTAATGCTGGAACTTTAAATCTTGTAAGTGGTTCATGGCCATCTGAGTATGGTGTTAAAGGATCATATTGAGACTGTACAGTTGAATCGATTACACTGATCTTTTGTTCATGGTCACCTTCATGGAAACTGATAAGGCCTTTGGTATTTCTAACTGTAATTGGTAAAAGGATTCCCTCTCTGCTGATTGATGGCACATTTAAAGTTACACACATATCTTCATTAAATGTTTTAAATTCAACATAGCTTTCCAACTTTTCGGCATTAGCTCTTGGATCAATGGCCAAACGTTCTTTGAGTACATCGATTTCATAATTTGGTATAACAATCTCTTCTTTTGTATAAATGTGATGAGGAGCTGGACCAAAGATTGACTCTGAAAGGATAGTTTCGATACGTTTCTTTTGCTCCGTAGTACAAATAATTACAACTTTGTTTTTTCCTTTTTGTACAAATTTATTATAGAAAATTGGGAACTCGACTTCTGATAATGAAACATCATTTGAAATTAAAAAGTGTGGAACAATAAAATGGCAAATCTTTTGGTCTCTTTTTAATTGATCTGGTGGAATACCAACTTGAATATAGGTGCTTGAATCATCGGGTTTATAGACATATGATGGGCCTGGGAATTTTTCGATTTTATTCTTTGTAAAATATGGTTCGTTGATTTCATTATTATTGTTATTATAATTATTATTATTATTATTGCTATTATGACTATAATTATGCTCGACTTGATTTTCATCAAACTCTAATATTTCTTGATCTTTTGAATCTATTATATTTAATAACAATTGGATACTATCGATTAATTCAGAGATCTTTGAATCTGGTGATAAGCAATTATCATTTGAAAACTTTTGGAAGCTTTGTTCTATTTCTTTAAAATCTTTATTAAAGACATAACTTGTACTAAATTCTATTGATCTTCTGTCTTCCAATGGTGATGACAACAAATCTAAAAGACACAATTTATTTTCGCTACTGTCTATGATATCGGCAATAATTTTGAAAGATGATAAAAATTGAATAGTTGCCTTTGTTCCTTCGATAATTTCAGTAATGGTGCCACTAATTTGGCAGATTTGATTTACAATTTCAATATAAAGACGTTCATAACTTAATGTTGGTAAATTCTCTAACTGATCACCCAATTCGCATCTTAATGTATCGGAAACTTGCTCTATATCTTCAATACGAATAAAATTATTACCAATTTTAGCTGAAATCACTGCCAATAGAAATTTGGATAAATTTTCGAAATATTCGATTGACAAATTTGGCTTTTCTACTAATGCTGAAATTTTGAATGTTTCGAATGCTGAAATTTTGTTATCCTTTGATAAACTCTTTACAAACTTTTCTAATCTATAGTAAATTTAAAATATTAATATTTTTTTTCTTTTTTTAAAATAAAAAATAAATATTTACTGTTTTAAAATATTTATAATATTTTCAAAATTTTTTATATTCATTTTTATTTATATATATAAATAATAAACTACTGTTTGTAAAACAAATAAACAATTAAATTTTTATTAATTAACTATTTGAATTGAAAAAAAAATTATTCAAATAATTGATGGGTTTTTAATTTGTCTTTAAATATAAATAAATATTTATCACACAATTAAACAAAAATAAAAAAGTTTAAATAGAAGCAAAAAAAACAATAAAAAATTATAAAAAAAATATAAAATTATTATTTAATATTTATTTAAAAACCAGTATCACACGCAAGAACAATATAATATGAAGATAAAATATATATAAAGTGTAAAAAAATATATATATTAAATTATATGGAGTAGGTGGGTAAATGTGAGTGGGGAGTATCTTTTAATAATTTAAAAAAAAAGGGTGAAAGTATAAATTATATAATATATTTTGGTGGGTTTGAGTGGTATTTATATATGTAAAAAAAAAATTATGGTGGGGTTTTTTTTTTTTTTTTTTTTTTTTTTTTTTTAAATTTTATAGAGGTAAAGCGTTTTAAATTTTTATTTAGAATTTGATATTATTTATATAAATAAAGGATAAAAATACTTTGAATGGGGTTATTTATTGATTGTGATTGATTTGTGATCAATGTATGAAAAAAAAAATGATTAAATATGGTATAGTGGTATGTGTGTATGTGTGTATGTATATGTGTTTGAATTTGATAACCCTATAAATATTAAAACAATAAAAAAATATAATATGAGTAAGGCAACTGATAAACAAGAAAAAAATATTAAAAAAAAAAGAATCAATGAAAAAAAAAAAATTTTAAATCCATTTTTAATTAAAAAAAATAAAAAATTTTAAAAATAAATAAAAAAAATTTGAAAAAAAAAAAAAAAGTTAAATAACCATACAATAAAGCTTCATATTTTAAAAAATTATTATATTAACCCCTTTTTTATATATTCAATATCTTTTTTTATCAACAAAATTGTGGGTTTGAAGTTTTAGGTTGTATTTAACTTTATGTATTTTTGTTTTTTGTTTTTTTTTTTTTTTTTTTGAAAATAAAAATGGGGTGTTGTGTTGATGTGTGATAAATTCAAAAAAAAAAAAGGTTTAAAAATCCAAAGATATAATTTTATTATAATAATTTGTGGGTGAGTTTGGGGAAAAGAAAATTTTTATGCAATAAATAATTTTAATGGAGGATATCGAAAAGAGTTGATCTACATTGTTTTAACCTATTATAATAAAATACATTTGATTATTGATTTTTAATAGATTGAAATCATGTAGTGAGTGTTTGATTATTTTTTGTTTTCTTTTAATTATTTTTATCACTTATACTCATGATTATAATTTGATTTGGTTAAACAACTTTTTATAAAAAAAAAAATACCTCCAGTCATCCCCCCCCCATAATAAATAAATACAAAAAATACATTACATTCTTTTCTGATTAAAGTAAAAACAATATTTTATTAATATTGGAACAGTGATCAATTTTTTTTTTTAATACGAAGTGATCATTATGATTTATATTGTTATTATATTCATCTGGTATCTATTGATTTTTAGACTATTAATAATAAATAAATTAAAGGAATTGAAAAAAAGCAGATTAAGGTTAGAAGATCTACAGCTTTCTTTGATTTATAAATACCTACTTTTTACTGATAGCTAAATTTGAATTCACCTAAAATTAATTTTCAAATAACAAATTCATTAAAAAAAAATATTAATTGAAGTTTATAAAAATAAATTATTAAAAATATTAATTTTTAAATTACAAATAAAATTTGGTTTTTTTTATTTTTATTTTTTTATTTATTTTTATTTTTATTTTAAAGTCATCAATGGTATACCATCTTCTTTTGAACCTGTTGAAGTTGTTGAATTTAAAACTGCACTATTTATTAAATTTCTATTTGATAAAGTTTGAGAACTTCTTAATAAATCTTTACTTCGTTTACTTTGTCTTAATAAATATAAATGATGCTCAACTGCATCTGTGATTGTATAAAAGAAATGATCGGCACCATAATGATCTACGACACCTCCACGCTTCATGTTATCTCTAACATAGCCTTTAACAGAAGCGAAATAAATAACAATTTGTCTTTTTCTACAGTCATCTACTAATTCTTTAAGCATACGAATACCAGTCGAATCGATGTCATTGACAGAGGAACAATCAATGACCATTGCACCAATGGTTGGACGGCCATCAATAACTACTTGAATTGGTTCATCATCATCAATGTTTGCATTTTCAGCTTCGCTATCTGTCATAATCGCAATTGCATCTTCATCGCCACCACTTGTGTGTCTATGGAATGGCTCGTGATGTCTAAGTTTCTTTCTAATAAACATACAATTTGCAAAATAAATTGAACCATCAATACGAACAATACGGATTCCTTTAAATGTTTCCGCTTTTGGTACACGTTTGATATTTTTATAAATTTCAGTGCCTGGTAGACGTCCCAATACTGCAAATGGTGGATAAGCACTACGATAAATGATCATTAATAATGAAGTAATAGTACCAATGAGAATACCTTGCAAAATACCCAAAACAGTTGTTGAGAAAAAGGAAATGCAAAATAGTAAAAGATCTTTACGGTGAACCTTCCACAAGTCAAATACCATTTGATACTCTACCAAGTCAATAATTGCAACGATAACGATTGATGATAAAACTGCTCTTGGAAGGAAATACACTACTGGTGTTAAAAAGAAAATACTAAAAACAATGATGACTGTGCAGATAAATGAAGATATTTGTGAAACTGCACCACTTTGTGCATTTACGGCAGTTCTTGATAATGAGGCACCAACTGGGAATGATAAAAAGAATGCGCCAAAGAAGTCACTGGCACCCAATGAAAACAACTCTTGATTTGGATCGATAGTATAGTTATATTTTTCACCAAACTTTGCACCAATTGAAACACTACTAATGAAACCAACCAAAACCAATACCAAAGCACCAGGTGCTAATTGAGCAATATTATTAAACCAATCGGTATTAGGTGGTGGTGGCAAACCATTTTCGCCAGTTTCGCTGTAGAGAGAATGATTATAACGTACCAATGGGAACTCTGGGTGAGGAAAACCTGATGGAATATTACCAACAACTTTAATATGAGCTCTTTGTTCTAATTTTAATAACCATGAAAAGAAGGTAAAGATAACTACAACTAGCAATGGTCCTGGAATTTTTAATTTGAATCTTGCATTGGTTTTTTTTATACCAATTAAAATTACGATACCGATTATACCCAATAAGAAAGCCCATAAATTTATATCTTTAATTTTCTTTAAATAACGAATAACCAAGAGAAGGAGGAAATTTGAGCCCTCTACTTCATAACCAAAGATATGTTTTAACTGACTACTACCAATAATTAAAGCACAACCACTAGTAAAACCTGTTTTAACTGGATCTGAAAGAAAATTTGCAACAAATCCAAAACGAATTAAACCCAAAAACATTTGAATTACGCCACACACAAGAGCCAATAGAATTGAAAGACTAACTCTATAAACGTCATCTTTATTTCCAACGCCAGCAACACTGTTTACTGTTTCCAATACCAAAAGTGAAATAATTGCAAATGGTCCCATAGATAATTGCTTAGCAGTACCAAAAATACAATATGCTAAAACTGGTAAAATGGATGAATACAACCCATAAATTGGTGGTAAGCCGGCTACCATAGCATAAGCCATACCCTGTGGAATTAACATTACACCAACAGTAATACCTGCGACCAAATCACCCTTCCAATCGCTCTTCCAATTATAATTTGGTAACCACTCCACTATTGGTACCAAACCTAATAAATAATTTATAAACTTCTTTTTGTGTTTTTTTTGAAACTTAAATGTTTTGATTTGTTTAATTGTCTTTAGGAAATTATCATCCTCCTCTATCCTATCTTTTTCAACAATTAAAATTTCAGAGTGACCTAACTTATTATCCTGTTCATTATAATTGTTGTTATTATCATTATTACTGTAAAAATTTATTGGTTGGCTGCTATTTAGGTCGAAATGTGGTGGTAAAGGTTGATTTAACCCGTTTGCACTTGAAATGCTGGGTGTTGATTGTAAACTACTGCTTTTTGATTGTGGAACCATTTTTGGTGTGTTATTTTTACTGTTATTTAATGATGCTGGTGCAGATAGCATAGGGCTCGGTATTGTATTGGATGGATATTGTAATGGTGAACTAGATAATGGTGGTCCAATTATATCACTGGATATTTTAATTTTATTTGGTGGCACATAATACAATTCTGGACTTCTTATTGATTTTAATTTATTATTATTACTACTATTTAATATTTTATTATCTTCATTTTTATAATCATCTTCATCATCTTCATGAAGAGTATCATCGTTATTGTTATTGTAATTATTATTATTATTATTGTTATTATTAATATTACTATTACTATTATTAATATTTATATTTTCTTCATCATCCTGGCTTTCACCAAGTTGTTTATATTGTTTTTTGGTCATTATAAATGATATTATTTAATAAAAAATTAAATAATAATGTCTAAATGATTTTTTATAACCACGGTTTAAATTAAAAAAAAATAAAAAAAAAAATAAAAAAAAACAAAAATTTAAACAAAAACAAAAAAAAAAAATTTATTTTTAAAATAAATAATACTATCTGTATGTATTTATATATATAGAATATAAATATAAATATAAATATAAAAATAAATAAATAAATAAATAAATAAATAAATATATAAATGTAGATAAAATTTAATTGAGCAAGTGGTTTTTTTTTTTTTATTAAAAAAATCTAAATTTACAAACAAACTCTTGCTTTAAAAACCAAAAATTTAAAAAAAAAAAATAAAAAAAAAAAAAATTAATTTAAAAAAAATAAATGTTTCACCCTTTTCACCAAATGTTAGTTATGATTGGGGAAAAACGTTTAAAAAAAACCACGTTGGCAACTTTTTGATTGGTCTAAATAATAAATATTGTATATTCCCCACCAAATAGTTAATTTTATTGATCATAATGGTTTTTTTTTTTCACCATTTCACACTTTAGGTTATGATTGGGAATTACTTTGTATGATTGGATAACCAGATACTACAAAACACACATACACACATACACATACACATACACACTTTAAAAACAAAACATTCATGGGATATAAATAGTTTTAAAAAAGAAATTTATCTTATTTTTTATTTGAATAAAAAAAAATTATCGTAAAATTAATTTTTTTTTTTTTTTTTGTTTTATAGTTTTAATATTTAAATTTATATTATTTTAATATTAAATTTTAATTCCTGATTTTCTTTCTTAATTTATTATTAATTTTAAAATGGGAAAAAAACATTAATATTTATTTATTTTAATTTTATTTTATTTTTTTTTTTTAATTTTTTTTAATTTTTTTTTTTTAATTTTTTTTATTTAAAATTATTTTTTTTTTTCAAAATTTTAAAAAAACGAAATTTTTTTAGCCAACAAATATTTTTAAAAACTAAAACATTATTTTTTGGTTCTAACAATTATTACACTCTTTTTAAAAAGAAATTTTTATTTTCCAATTCTTTTAAAAAGTTTTAATTTTTTGTGTAAATAACACATCTTTATATATATACCCCCCACACCCCCCCATCCCTACCAAACAAAAAATTAAATAAATAATATATAAAAAATGGCCTCTAGTATTACTAGTATGTAATTTAAATGTTATAAAATAAAACTTTATTTATTAATTACTAATTATTTTAATTTTTTACCACTTTTCTTATTTTAGGAATTCAATATGAAAATAGTTGTGATGTTGGTGTTTTTTCAAAATTAACAAATAAATATTGTTTAGTTGGTCAATGTGCCAGTAAACAATTTTTACATATGTTTGATGTTAAATTAGCAGATCATATTCCAGTTATCGAAACCTCAATTGCAGGTACTCGTATTGTTGGACGTTTAACAGCTGGTAACAAGAATGGTTTATTATTACCAAATACAGCTACTGATCAAGAATTACAACAAATTAGAAACTCATTACCAGATGAAGTTGTTGTTCAAAGAGTCGAAGAAAGATTTTCAGCTTTAGGTAATTGTATTGCCACAAATGACTATGTTGCCCTTATTCATCCAGATATTGATAGAGAAACTGAAGAAATTATCGCCGATGTTTTAGGTGTTGAAGTTTTCAGACAAACTGTCTCCAGTAATGTTTTAGTTGGTACCTATTGTGCCCTTACCAATCAAGGTGCACTCGTTCACCCAATGACCTCAATTGCCGATCAAGATGAATTATCATCACTTCTCCAAGTTCCAGTTGTTGCTGGTACTGTCAATCGTGGTAATGAATGTGTTGCTGCTGGTTGTGTAGTTAATGATTGGACCGCTTTCGTTGGTGCTGATACCACTGCCACTGAAATCTCTGTCATCGAATCCATTTTCCATCTTCAAGGTGCTCAACCACAAAATATTATTAGCAAAATTAGAAATTCAATCGTTGATAATGTATAAATAATATATAAATAATAATATTTAAAAAAAATAAAAAAAATAAAAAATAAAACTATAAAAAAAAATAATAAAATAAAAAATAATTAAAAAAAAAAAAAAAAAAAAAAAGAAAACTTCAAATATAGTTCTCATTCTATTCGTTTTAATTAATTCCATCAAATCGACCCTGGTCAAAAAAGAAAAAAGGTAAAAACTTTTTTTTAAAAGAATTAATTTTTTACCACATTAATTATTTGTGTGTTAAAATTATATTAGATCAAAGTCTCATTTTATTTTAATATCATTTGATTATTATATTATTATATTATACTTATTTATTAATAAATTATTATTATTTCCTTAGTTTTATTTTTTTCTCTTAAAAAATTAAAAAAAAAAAAAAATTAAAAATAAAAAATTAAATTAAAAATAAAAAAAAATAAAATAAATTTTTTTTTTTTTTATAATTTTAAAAAAAAAACTTTATAGAAAAAAAGACAACATAAATTTAAAACTTTTAATAATATCGTTTGTTAATTTTAATTTTTAACTAAATAGTTTAATATTATCATTTTTTTATATTGTTGTTATTGTTATAAGAATATATATATAAAAATGCCAATTATCTATTCATTAGTAGCCAGAGGATCCTCAGTATTGGCAGAGTTTACCAATACTACTGGTAATTTTACAACCATTACCAAAAGAATTTTAGATTTAATTCCACCAAATGACACAAAGATGTCATATGTTTACGAAAAGTAAGTTTATTTATGTAGTTGATTATATTAGTGGTTACTATATTTTAAAATACTAAACTTTTAAAAAAAAAAAAAAAAAGATATATTTTTCACTATTTAGTAAATGACCAATTAACATATCTTTGTATGGCAGATGAAGAGTTTGGTAGAAGAATACCATTTGCATTTTTAGAGGATGTTAAAAATAGATTTAAATCAATGTATGGTGATAAAGGTAAAACAGCAAATGCCTATGGTATGAATTCAGATTTTTCAAGAACATTAGAGAACCTCATGGATCACTATTCAAATAATCGTAGTGTAGATACTATGAGTCGTACAATGATGGAGGTAGACGAAGTTAAAAATATTTTGGTAAGTGATATTGCTCCACAATTATTAAAACGTGGTGAAAAAATTGAAATTCTTGTAGATCGTACTGAATCATTAAATCAACAATCATTTAAATTTAAAAAACAAAGTAAACAATTAAAATGTGCTATGTGGTGGAAAAATGTCAAGTTAATGTTAATCATTGCTGCTATTGTTGCTGTAAGTTAAATTAATTATACTCGATAACGATAACGATAACGATAATAATAATAATAATAGTAATAATAATAATAATAATAATAATAATAATAATAATAATAATAATAATAATAATAATAATAATAATAATAATAATAATAATAATAATATTGTTTTTTAAAACATTAATATTAACCCATTATTTTTTTAGATTGTTATTTTTGTTATTGTTGTTTCAGCCTGTGGTGGTTTCCATTGTGGTAAAAAGAAAGAAGCACCAACTCCAACCCCATCTCCAACCCCATCTCCATCAGGATCTTCATCTATTGCATCTTCAGCATCAGCAGGAGGCTCATCCCAATCACCACCAAAATTATTATTAGAGTTTTTAAGTAATTTAATTAATTAAAAAAAAATAATAAAAAGTTAAAATCAAATAAATATAAAAATATAGGAAATAAAATAGGAAACTAGATTTATCAATAAATATCAAACCAACAACCAAACAGCATTACATTAATCAAAAATTCAAACAAACAAACAAACAAACAAACAAACAAAAAAACAAACACTAACTAAACTATTTCAAATTGCTTTGAAATAGAAATCAAAATTACACCCAAATCAAAAATAAACAATAATAATTAAATAAAACCTTTTCTCTTTTATGTATACATTTATAAAAAAAAAAAAAGACATGGTGGGTTTTTTTATATCTATTTACATTTTTTTATTTATTTTTATTTATTTAAATTGAATCTTCTAAAATTTTTTTTACATATGAAAAGAAATCTATTATTTGGTCTTCGTTTGTAGAGTTAAATGAATGAATAAATAATCTTTTGTTGATATGGAAATGATCTAGTTGTTTGAATTTATTTGATATAAATGAGCTGACATCGTTTGGGTGGTTGGAACCTCTATACTCTGGGAAATAGGTATTAAATTGTACCTTTTTTAATTTCTGTGTAAACTCTTCTTTTTTGTTTAATAAAATGATTACAGGAGTGTTTAGATAGAAATGATTGTTTACAATTTCTTCATAGATTAATATATTTTCTTGTAATTTGTTATTGCAGTTTATCTTTTCATCTGGTGGTAGGTCAAATTCATCTAGTGACAAAAAGTATAATATTACACCAACATCGTCAAATTGATGTATCCATTTCTTTCTATCACATCTTTGATTGCCAACATCCACAAAAACATATTGACATTTACCAACTTCTAATTTTGTATCAAATATTCCCGATTGATTAGAGGTATTGGAGCATCTTAATATATCTTCATCAGTGGGTATATAATCTTCACTTGACATTCTTTTACAATTTTCTATTAAACTATTAAAAAAGAATAAATTAGTAATTTTATTTTTATTTATAAAAAAATATAAAACTTACTAAAATGCATCTTCTCTTCTCGATGATATAATTGGGTAGATAACTAATTTAAAAGATGGATCATGGCACAAGTCGTAGATATATTTTGCTAATTCTTTGTTGGGTTTGAAATCATATGGGCAATATGAAAATGCTTTGAGTTTATTCCATGCCAATTCTCCATCATCGGTAGAGTAAACAGGTTTTTCTTGAGCATGTACAACCCTTATGACATCTTTGAAGCAGTTACTGATATATAGTTTAATATAAGGTAATATTGATTTTGCATCAGAGTTTAAAAATGACCCATTTTGATATATTAGTTTGACTTGTTTTGCAAAGGTATGTTTTGCACTATTTTCATTACCTAACATTAAAATTTTGATTAAGCTTTTACTTCTTCTTTTTTTTTTCTCTATCATTATTGATCTTTCAATAAGCCATCTATTTCCAATATTACTAAATTGAACGCCCATTTTTTTATTATATTTTATTTTTAATTGAAATGATTTATAAAAATTTAATAATTTAATTTAAATTTGAAAAAAAAATAAAAAAAATGAATATAAAATGGAATTGGATATTAAAATAAATAAAAATAATTAAACAAATATATATTTAAATAATAGGTTGCAACTTATTTGAAAGGAATATATAATGTAATGAAAAAAAAAGAAGAGTTAGTTGGTGTAATTTAAAAAAAAAATAACAGATTAAATATTAAAAAAATTATTTTATTTATTAGTAAAATTTAAATGCTTTAAATTATAATGTTTTAAACTAAACATAAAATAGAATTATTTATATATAAAAACAATATAAAAAAATAAAAAAATAAAAAAAAAAATAAAAAAATAAAAAAAAAACTGAAGTTATACATAGTGGTATATATATTTATATATTTATGTATATGGTTAATGTTATATATATAATAAAAGATAAAACTAAATGCATGATATATAAAAATAGTTTTTTTCTGGTGTGGTGTGGGTGTGTGATTCTATGTGGTGATGGTGGTGATGGTGACAGTGTTTATATAATTGTTTGGAAATGTGTGGGTGTGGTTATGAGGTTTTGTGTGTGGGGTTGAAGGGTTAATGTTATCTGTGGGTGGGTGTGAATGTATGTAATTAAAAAAGGGGTGGTTTTAATAATTTTTATTTGTTGTTTTTAATCATGATATTGTTTAAAATTATATCATCAACTCCATATGACCATTTTTTTTTAAATTCAACTCCAAAATAATAAAAATAACAACAATAACTAATTAAAAAATAAACAAATAAAAATTCAAGTAAATAAACAGACAAAAAGAAAAAGGTGAGATTAATGATGATGTTGATAATAATAATAAATAAAAATCAAAATTTATAATGATAAATAAACTATTTTTTTTTTAATATTAAATCAAAATACAATAACCATAAGGGGATGTATTTACTTTTTTTTTTAAAACTTTATTTATATAATTATATTTTTTTTTTTTTAATTAAATTTTCTTTCTTTGTATGCTTAGATTATTTCTTTTTTATTTGATATTTATCATTTATGATTTTTTCATGATTTTGATTAGGAGATTCTTTAAATATAATTCTACTAAAAAGTATTTGATATAAAAATAACCAATAAAAATATTAATACACCAGCCACAAAATATTAATTTTTTAACAATTTTATTTAAACCTTTTAATTAATTTAGTTTTTTTTTTTTTTTTTTTGAATTTAATTTTAAATATATAATTTTAAATTAATAAATTAAAATTTGTAAGATATTAATTATTTACTTTTTTTATATAAGAGATATTTTATTATTTTTTCTTTTTTTAAATAATTTTGATCCAAAGCAATATTATGTGATTTTAGATAATAAAATTAATTTTTAAGATCTTTTTTTATGTGATTTTCCATAAAAAGATAATTATTATAATGACTTTATGATACAAATATAGTAAAGTTATTTTTAGCTATTATACAACTCACACCATTTTCGCATTTGATTGTTTTTTTTTTTTTTTAAAAATTTTTTTTTTTAATAAACACAAACATAAAAAAAAAAAATTTTATATTTTTTATAATCATTCAATTAAATATTGAGTTGTTATTTCATTTTAATTATGGTTATTTAATTAAAATTTTCTAAATTTAATGATTTAATTTAATAAAGATGGTTTTTTTGAAGTTCATAATATGAAATAATTTTTTTTTTTCACCAAATTAAAATTTCAAATTTTTAAAATTTTTTTTTTTTAATTTTTTTTAAATTTTTAGCATAAATTTTTTTAAAAATTTTTTTTTTTTCTTTTTATTTTATTTTATAATTTTATATTATTATTTATTTAATAATTTAAATTAAATCTTAAAAAAATGTTAGGTAGAAGATTATTAAATAAAACTACTCTTTCAATTTTAAAACAACAAACCAAAACTGGTTCATTAGTTTGTTCAAGTAAAAAATGTTTTTCAACCACTACTACAGCAACCAAAGAACCATTCAAGGCTGTTAGAATCGAATCACAAATTGATAGAGTTTTGGGTAGAATTCAAGAAGAATCAGATAGAGCTGAATTAGGTGGTGGTATTAAAAGAATTGATGCTCAACATGCTAAAGGTAAATTATTAGCTCGTGAACGTATCGAATTATTATTAGATGAAGGATCATTCAGAGAATACGATATGTTAGTTACCCATCGTTGTCAAGATTTCAACGTTGAAAAGATTCCAGGTGATGGTGTCGTCACAGGTCATGGTACAATCAATGGTAAATTGGTATTTGTTTTCAGTCAAGATTCTACCGTCAATGGTGGCAGTCTTTCAGAAGCTCATGCTGAAAAGATCTGTAAAATTATGGATAAAGCAATGTTAGTTGGTGCACCAGTTATTGGTTTAAATGACTCTGGTGGTGCTCGTATTCAAGAAGGTATTGCCTCTTTAGCTGGTTATGCTGAAGTTTTCCAACGTAATGTTATGGCTAGTGGTGTCATCCCACAAATTTCAGTTATTATGGGACCATGTGCTGGTGGTGCAGTTTATTCACCAGCCATCACTGATTACATTTTCATGGTTAAAGATACAAGTTACTTATTTGTTACTGGTCCAGATGTTGTCAAATCAGTTACCAATCAAGAAATCTCACAAGAAGGTTTAGGTGGTGCTAAAGTTCATACCACAAAATCTGGTGTTGCTCATCTTGCCTTTGACAATGACATTGAATGTCTTAGAAAGGTTCGTGAATTTGTCACTCTTCTTCCATCTAATCCAAACGAAACTGCCATCAGAGAACCATTCGATTCACCATCACGTGAAGATGAAGTTTTAGATGATATTATTCCAGATGATCCAAATAAACCATACGATATGAAAGAAGTTATCGAACGTATTACTGATGAAGGTGAATTCTTTGAAATTCAACCAGATTTTGCCAAAAACATTATTGTTGGTTATGGTCGTATGGAAGGTCGTACCGTCGGTTTTGTTGCCAATCAACCAAAAGAATTAGCTGGTTGTTTAGATATCGATGCCTCTGTTAAAGCTGCTCGTTTCGTACGTTTCTGTGATTGTTTCAATATTCCAATCGTTACTTTAGTCGATGTTCCAGGTTTCCTTCCAGGTACCAACCAAGAACACAATGGTATCATTAGACATGGTGCTAAATTATTATATGCCTACGCCGAAGCTACCGTTCCAAAGATTTCAATTATCACTCGTAAAGCTTATGGTGGTGCTTATGATGTTATGTCATCTAAACATCTTCGTGGTGATACCAATTACTCATGGCCAACTGGTCAAGTTGCCGTTATGGGTTCAAAAGGTGCTGTAGAAATTATCTTTAGAGGTAAAGGCGATATCAAAGAACAAGAACAAATTTATAATGATAAATTTGCTAACCCACTTCCAGCTGCCAGAAGAGGTTTCATCGATGATATCATCCCACCAAGATTAACTCGTCAATATATTTGTGAAGATTTAGAAATGCTTAAAAATAAAAAATTATCAAATCCAGCCAAGAAACATGGTAACATTGTTTTATAAAATCAAATCCAAACATAAGATAAATAAATAAAAAAAAAATAAAAAATAAAAAAATTTATATATTAAATTATTAAAAAAAATATTTAAAAAACTGTTTTTTTTTTTTATAATTTTTGTAAAAATCTTTTTTTTTTTTTTATTTTCTTTGGAAATAATTAAATGTTTAATAAAAATAATAACAACAATAAAAATAATAATAATAATAATAATAATAATAATAAAATAATTATTTTACCAAATGTAATTATTATTAAAATTATTAATTATTTAACATCGTTTTGGGAAGGATCAAGTTTTACAAATGATGTTAATGAACTCTTTACATTGGTAATTAACAATGTTGTAAGAGATTTATCTATGGTATCTCGAGATTGGTACAAAATGGTTTCTCGAGGATTAAAACTACCCAATTATTATTTGCTTCAAGAAAGTTTATTAGAGAGCAATAAAACCATCCAAAGAATGATCAAAGCAGATTCAACATTTATTAAAATTGGTATTGCAACTGTATTTAATAGAAGTTTAATTAAAAAATATCCACTATCTATTAGCACCCTCGTTTTACAACCAAGCCAATCAGTTAAAATTCGAACACAAAACAATATTTTGCCATTTATCTTTACAAATATAACAAAATTAGAATTAGTGTTAAATAATACCAAACAGTTTACTAGATCATATCTAGAGAATTTGTTTCCAATTGAAATGTTTTCATCGCAGGGTACCAATGATGAATTACTACACAAACTAAAGAAAATAAATATCAAAAGAAATGAACAACAGGGATCAAATGCAACTTTAAATACAATTAGTAATAACTCTTATTACTCCTCGCAAACCACCCCAGACTTTTCAAGTAGTGACTATAGTTTCGAATGGACCAGAAAAATTGAAAGTTTAATAATATCAAAAAACCAAGCTTTTGATGACACCGAACTATTAGATCTATCAGTTTTAAACGACTTTGTCGAGCTGGGTGGCTTTGAAAAAATCTACCATTTAAAGCTTATTTCAAACTACAAAAAGGTTCAAAACATTGGGGATTCACTATTGGTCAAAAAGGTTACCCATCTCAGCTTGTTTGGAATCAAAATAAATTTAGAATCTTTCGATAAACTGCTCTCATCAAAAAATAATATTAAATATTTAGAAATCTCACAGTGTACAACCGATAGTGACAAATCTTTTGGTTTAAACAAGATACTTTCAAAACATATTTCAAGTGGCAACTCCAAACTAGTGTCTTATTATCACGATACATTTGAAAACCAAGATGTCGATGGTCTCATATTGCTGTTAAGCTCAACCCAAGGAAGCACATTAACAACTGTAAAATTTAAAAGTCTAATTCAACTTTCAGACAATAAAATCGACATTCAATCAATACCATACAACTCCTCATCAGTTAAGTTTTTATCACTAGTACTACCAGATCCATCATTTATTAAATTTATCCTTTCAAAAGTTTCATTTAATCTATCAAGTTTAAATTTAAAGTTTATTAAATCTAACCTCAACGAAAATAGTGATGCGTTAATCGAAATCTTGTTGCAAATTTTACAAAGCCAAAATAGCAGTCTTAAGACTTTAAAAATACTTTTAAACGAAAAAGAACTTGATGAAATTAAAAAGAGTACATCATATCCATCAACTTGTAAAATGAAACAACTATTTAATTTTATTACAAATGAACCAAACCAAATTCAGGAATTAGAATTAAGAAACATTTGGATTTCAAAAGAAACCTTTATAGAATCACTACTATCATTCAACGCAAACCCAAACTCAGCTTTACGTTCTCTTTACTTAACTGGTGTTTCAGATGTAACCTCCGAAAATCTCTATGATAATGTAGATAGTTTATTTGTAAATAATTGCAAGCTTATCACGTTAGGTTTGTCATTAGTTCCAATTAATTCAAAACTTCCAAAACCATCTAGCTTTGCGCAAAGATACACCATATCATTTTTCAGACCCACATCAACTCTAACTTTTATAGATTTACTTACAGAGATTCTCTTTAAAAATAAAACCATTCAACATATTTTCATGGACGAAATTGATGAAAGAATTTACTGGCTCACAAATTCCAATAAAGAAAGATTAGAGGAATCTATAAAGAAAAATAAGCAATTGGTATCTATTGGTATTCCATACTATTTAAGCCAACATGTTCAGTCATGTCCTAATAACGGTGTTTTCCCATTTTTTAATCCACCATCAATAAACAAATAAAAATAAAATCCATAAACTAATTTTTTTTTTATAATTTTTAAATATGTTTACTACATTTTTATCTTTTTTTTATTTTTTTTATTTTATTTTTTATAATACTAAATTTTTAAATTTTAATATTATTATATATAGTGCGTATTATGCTTTATGTTAAGATTGATTATTATTTAAATTGAAAAAAATTATTTATATAAATATCCATTATTATTGTTATTTTAAAAAAAAAACTATTATTATTATTATTATTATTATTATTATTATATCTTAAAAAATGATTTAACGATAGAGATATTCTGAGGCAATATTTGAAGCAATTTCAGTTTCCCATCTATCACCTAAAGTAATAATAATATTGGTATATAATTAGTATCTTATGAATGTTTTCTTTTTTTTTTTTTTTTTTTATATTTATATTTACCATTAGCAAGAAGTTTTTCTTTATTATACAATAATTCGATTCTAGTTTCAGTAGTAAATTCAAAGTTTGGACCTTCAACAATAGCATCTACTGGACAAGCTTCTTGGCAGAAACCACAATAAATACATTTTGTCATATCGATATCGTAACGAGTGGTTCTTCTTGAACCATCTTCTCTTGGTTCGGCTTCAATTGTAATAGCTTGGGCTGGGCAAATAGCTTCACAAAGCTTACAGGCAATACATCTTTCTTCACCAGTTGGATATCTTCTAAGAGCATGTTCACCACGGAAACGTGGTGAAATTGGGGTCTTTTCAAATGGATAATTGATTGTACATTTCTTTCTGAAGAAATAACCTGCAGTGATATACATACCCCACATAATTTCAGTTAAAAAGAATGAATTTGCTGCATCATCAATAACTTTTTTAACAGTTGGTGGTTGATCTGGCTATAATAATAATAAAAAAACATAATAATTTTTTTTATATTAGTATTTATTTTTATCTATTGAAAAATCTAACAACATATTCAATAATTATTATTTATTTTATTTTAAATGGTTATTTTATTTCTATCATTATTTATTATTTATTAATATTTATTAATTATTAACGATAATTAATGATAATTTAATTGTAATTATTAAACAAATCATTATGACATCTAAAAAAAAAAACCCATTTGATATCTTTTTATAAACCATCACATTTATTATTATAAATTATCAATGTATGCAATTTTTAATAATTTTGTGTCCAAAATCTCAATTTATGTGTTGCTAAAAACTGTATACTGTGTAATATGACTGTATGCTATATCATTTTTTTTTTTTCGATGAACTTACTTTAGAATCCCATCTTGAAAGATTTGGTTTTGAGGTTTGGAATGATCTAATACCTAATTGTTTTGAATTGTTTGCTGTTCTTACAACTCTAGAGAATGACATTTTTTGCTAAAAAAATGATGAATATTGTGAATGTACTCACTAAATTATTATAGAAAAAATAAAAAATTTAATGAAAAAATTTTAAAAAAAATTAAAAAAAAAAAAAAAAAAAATTTTTTTAAAAATTAATTTTTTTTTTTTTTTTAAAAAAAAATGAAACAATGACAATTTTTAATAATCGTAAAATCAAAAAAAATTAAAAATTTATTTTATTTATTTATTTAATTAATTAATCTTCAGATATTACACATAAACAATAATATTATTATTGTTATGTTTCACAATAATAATAATGATTAGACTAATCAAAAACAATGTTAATAAATTAATTGTAAATAATAATAATATAATATCAATTAGATTATATTCAACAACAACAATATCACCATCATCAAACATAACAAATAAAAGAAAATGGGAAATGCCAAAAATTGAAACATCATATGATACTGGCATTCAAGTTAAAAACAGTTTAGCAAATCATCAAAAGGTACCATTGTTAATTTCAAACTCTAATATAAAAAATCAAAGACCAATAAGCTGGTATACTTGCGGTCCAACAGTATACAGTAGTTCACATATCGGTCACGCTAGAAACTATGTTACTGTTGATATCATTCAAAGAATTTTACAAGACTACTTTAGATTAAATATAATTCATGTTATGGGTATGACCGATATTGACGATAAAATACTAATTAAATCACGTGAAAAGCAAATTTCAGCATCGGAACTATCCAGAATATATGAAAAAGAGTTTATTGAAGATTTAAAGTCATTAAATGTAAATATATTTATAGACAACTTTATTTTAAAACAAATGGATATTAATTAATTTTTTATTAGATTAAACCACCAATGTTTACCACCAGAGTTTCAGAGCATATGGGCGAAATTATTAACTATATCGAAAAAATTAGAGATAACAATTTAACATATGAATCAACTAAATCAATTTTTTTCAATGTCGAAAAGTTTGGATTTGACAGATACTCAACACTAAGAGCAATTAATGAACATGGAGAATCAAAGGATCTTGTAGATGATACTAAAAAATCGAATCAAGATTTTGTATTATGGAAATCATTTAATAAAGATTTAGATTATGATGGTAAAAATGAAGCTGTTGGTTGGGAGTCTCCATTTGGTAAAGGAAGACCAGGTTGGCATATAGAGTGTTCTGCAATGATAAACTCAATTTTTGGTAATCATTTAGATGTCCATTCTGGCGGTATCGACTTAGAGTTTCCACATCATCAAAATGAAATTGCTCAATGCGAAGGTCATCATTCAGAATGTAATAAAGATGGTTCATATCAATGGGCAAACTATTTCCTTCATGTAGGTCATCTCCATTTAAAAAATGTAAAAATGTCAAAATCACTCAACAATGTAATTACAATTCGTGATTTTCTTGATAAATATACTCCAAATACTTTACGTTGGCTCTGCCTAATTCACAGATATACAGATCCATTGGTATACAGCGACGAAACTTTAAAACTATGTGTCGAAAAAGAATTATTATTTATAAATTGGTTTAAGTTTGTTCAGGTATGTAGAATTATTATAACTTGTTATTATTATATAATATTAATATTTTTTTCATCAAAGAATAAATTAGATGAAGAATTAGTATCAGTAGATAAAGTTAAAAAAACTTTTAATGACTCTGCAGCATTATTAGAACAATTAAGTAATACCAAATTAAAAGTTGAAAAAGATTTAGCAAATGACTTTGATACTCCAGCAGTCGTTGAAAGTTTGCAATCATTAATGAAACAAACTAGAGAATCAATTGACACAATTGATACTGACCTTTTGTATAATATTCAAGACTATATTAAATCAATTTTAAATGTTTTTGGTTTGGATGTATCAAATTTATCAAATTTACCAACCAACGTAGGGGACAACACAAACGAATTCTTATTGGAAACTTTGATGGATCTTAGATCAGATTTGAAGAAACTATTAAAAGATGTACCAAATTCTCAAGACCCATCCTTTAAAGAAATTAAATCAAAATTATATAAAATTACCGATCAAGTTAGAGATAAATGTTTATCGGAAATTAATTTAAAAGTTAGCGATAATGCAAACAACGACAAACCTTATACACTAGAATGGTTAGATAAAAATCAAATGCAGTTGCTAAATATCAAAAACAATAATAATCAAAAAAAATAAAGATAATTAATTTAAATTTTTATTTAATAAAAAAATATGTATAAAAACAATAAAATTTTAAAACTATAAAAAAAAAAAATAATAGAAACTATAATAGAATTTTTTTTAAAAAAAAATTATAAATTTTTATTTATAATAAAATGTTTTATAAAGAACTTTTTATTTAATTGTTGAAAAAAGCACTGAAACAAGACTTTTTTATTACTAATAATAGCATTTGATTTATGGGTGGATGAAACTATAAAATAATTTATACCCTTAACAACTATTTGCTAGTATCTAATTGGCGCATATCCGGTAGATTTTAAAAACCTATATATTAAAAAGATATATTAATATAAATTCTTTATATTTTTTAAATTATTTTTAAAAAATTAAAAAAGAAAATTTTTAAAGATTATGTCAGCAAGAATTTTTGTACACGTTCTGATTTTATCCGCAGCATAGCTCGGTCCGCTCGTCAAGTTTTCTCATCATACTAATCTTTAAATTTTTTCTTTTTTTAAAAAAATAAAATATTATTCTATACTCTACCTTTTGAGGAATGGATCAATAGAAATGGACCATTAGAAAAGGACAGATATCAATGATGGTTAAGAATCTATAATGAAAATAGAGATATTAGTAAAATGATATTTAAATATTATCAAAAAAGAAAAAAAATTATTGAAATTAAATCAGACGTATGTTAAAAATGTCCTCAATTTAATTCAGACATATGCTTGTATTAAAATCATCATTTTGATTTCAATATATTTTCTTTCTTTAATATAAAAAACTTACCATTGTTAATCTTTTTTTTTCTTAGAAAAAATAAAGCTTTGGAGCAAACATAGAACTTTTTGGTGCCATTGGTAATTCTATATTTAAATTTAAAAAAATTATTAATATTTTATATTTTTTAAAAAATACAATATTATTATTTTAAATGATTTTTTTTATTATTTGTCAGATGTTAAAGAAGAAGTAAAATGTTTTTTTTTCATCATTTTAATTAAGATGTCCCTAACAGTGTTTCATCATAAAAATAATAAACTAAACCATAAAAAATAATGATTATTTAAAAAAAAATGTATAGCTTACACTAAACCTAAGGCATTATTATATTTATTTTGTATTTCTGAGCGGTTTGAGGCTTAAGGAAAATAATAAAAATTTTTTTAAAAAAATATTTTTTCCTTTCAGGAAAAAAAAAAAACGAAAAAAAAAAAAAAAAAAAATTTGGTAAAAAAAAAAAAGAAAAAAAATTGAAGATAACGTGACATTATATTTTAAATTAGTTTTTAAGAAGTATATTTAAAGATTTTAGTCTCTCTATAGTTTCTTTTGAAATATTTTGATTCTTCTATACATTTTAAAAAAAAAAAAGTTAGTATTAATTCTATTATGTGTTATATAAACATGCACACTTACATCAATAAACAATTTGAATAATTTTGGACACTTGCTAATAACTAAATCAACAGAGTCTGATGATATAGATTTGTTATCCAATAAATTTATAACCTCTAAATCTTTTCCAACATATTTGAAAATTGTTTGTAACTTTTCGTTGGTGATATCTGCTCTCCCTAAATCTAAATATTTTAATGAATGAAATTGTGAAAATATATCAAATATTTCATAGTTATTAAGTCTATTTAATAAAAATAAAAAAATTAGTATTTATTTGTTAAATTGAAATTTTATTTCATATGTATATTTACGAATATCCACCAATTGTTAAGCTGATAAGATTGGGAAATTCAAAGCTTTTAATACCGCTATATGAACAATCAAAGATTTGTAAAGATTTTGAGGATTCTGTTATTTTATTTGCATTTCTACAAAATTTAATATTTAGTTCTTTTAAATTCTTTAAACTTTCGATGGCTGTATCTACACAGGCTGATGATAATTGTGCTATATTATGGACAACAAGATGCTCTAAATTTATTAAATTCATGAAAATTGTTAAAAGAATATCAGTGTCAATATCTATGTTTGATAGTCGTAGATGTGTAATTTGTGTACATGTGATTAGTTTTGACGATAGATTCTCATCGAGGGATTTTAGTGAGTGGAATATATCCTAAATTTAATAAATTAGTAATGGGTTACAGTTATTTTTTATTATATGTATGTTGATAATTACAAGTTTTTTTAATGATTTACAGGAGTCTAAAAATTTAATAATTTGAACTGGCTGGTATATACCATTGAGTGCTAATGATTGTAAATTTGGGATCTTTTTGTAATGATTTGCCTGAATATCCGTTAAAGTGGGTAAGGCAAGGGAAATTATATTTCTTGGTGGGTTTGTTTCAAAGAAAATGTTTAAGCTTCTTATATTGGTTTTAAATAGTGATAAGTTTTCTATTTTATTCATTATTCTGCAATTGTTTATATGTTTGAAGCAATCTTCGGTGGCTTTATCTAAACTATCTAATATAAGTGTTTCGACATATGGGGTATAAAAAATTTTATTGGTGGCGGTTTCGTCATTTGTGGTATTGGTTATTGGATTTTCTTCATCATCCTCAAATATAAAATTACCATTTTGGTGATATGATCTTAATGTTCCGCATAGTTTATAAATTTTAAAATTTGCATCTACACTGCCCAAGAAACTTAAATCAATTATTCTCCATCTACTTGAGTTGAAAAACAAACCTCTAAATGTTTTACAAACTCTTGTACCAAATCTAAAAAACATTTTAAAATCCATATATTGGACTAAAATTTCAAAGATTGGTTTCGATATTTTGCCACTGGTTTTATTACTATTTAATATAACTGTTATTTCATTCTTTAGTTCCATATCGTATCTCTATTGGATTGTTATTATGTTGTTATATTATTGTTTTATTTTGTTAATAGAGTTTTCTAAAATTTTAAAAATAAAATATATTAAAAAAAACAAAAAATTTAAAATAAAAAAATTAAAAATAAAAGAGAAAAAAAAGCAGGAAAAAATTTTAAATAAATAAAAATTTAAAAAATGGGTTATAGATTTGGATTCATTTTTTTTTTAAATGAAGTATTGGTTTATAAAATCTAGCAGTTTTAATACTTTTTTATAACTATTATCTATTTCAATAGGGTTCAAATAAATAATAAATACAATTTTAAAAAAATAAATAAATATTTTTTTTTTATTGTAATGTATTTACAATTTTATAATTTTATAAACCAGTTTATTATTTTGTTAATAATTTGCTTTCTGAAGGTATGACTTCTACATCGATATTAAATGTTATTTTATCATTGGTTACGAAATCCTTAACTAATTTAGTTTCTATAAATCTACCAAATCCACTTCCTTTGTTTTCTGAATAAATATTAGTTTTTTCTTTTGTGGGAACAAAAAAAAATAAAAATAAAATTAATATTAATATAAATGGTATTACCTAAAGATTGATATAATATTTACCCATTTTATGTGATTTTGATAAATCATTATTATTTACAAGTTCAAAACTAAATTTAACATTGGTTGATAAAAATGAAGGTTTTTCGTATAAGTGTAAAAAAATTGAAAAATGATTGTTATTTGAATCATTGAAACCATTTGGATAAAGGCCAATATAAAAGTTTTTTGAACCCACACTGAAATAAGGACTTTTTAAGCGCTCATTATTGTTATGTGTTGCAAGTTTTGATTCCCAATTTTCAATTGTCCAGCTTCCACGATATCTACTATTTACATCTACACGTTTTTCTAATTCACTGTAGTCATTTTTTAATTTTTTTATAACACGATCTGATTCTTCAGTTTCGATTCTATGTTTGTTGATGAGGGTCTGCATGAAAAAAATATGGTTGTTATTTTCTTTTAGGTGCGTTGGTAAGTCACATCTTTTGATACGTTTATTGCATCCACCATCTTTATAAATGCAATCTATAACGACCTCTTTGCATTCGTTACGAATATGGGATAAAAGGTCACGTCTACCGTATTTATTATGGCAGTGTTCACATTCCAATGATACCACATTACAATCATCTTCTAAATGTTTTGCATATTTGTCTTTTACTACTGGTTCCTCACAATGTTCACAATTAATAATTGAATATTGACATTGCTCTTCGTGTTTTTCTTGATGGTTCTTTCTAAATTTTGCTTTGCATTCGATACTATTTTTACATCCAATAAAACCATATTCACACTGTGCTAAATGAGTTTCGATTTGATCTATCGTTATTATTTCTTTACATCCTTGTTCGTCTATTACCAATTCGCCATCGTTCATTCTAAAATCTGTATACAAGTTCGGACAGTATACTTTTTTGCCTCTAATTGCCTTTTCTAAAAAAATATTTCTACATAGTTCGCCTATCGAGTTTATTTTTATTCTACATATCCCACATTCTTTTCTTAATGCTAGTTGTTTATCCCAACTATTTATTATGTGATTAAATAGTTATTAGTATTTAAAATCGTATTGTTAACAGAATTATAATAGATACATACCATAATTTACACATTAAATGACCATTTTTACAAGAAAGAGCTTGGGATGATTCTATTGGGTAGTGATTCAAAACATAGTCACTACAAATAACACATACATAATCATCTTTAAGTGGTTTAACTAAAATTTCACTAATTTTAAAATCAAACATATTTATATTATGAAAACTATATAGGGGTGGTAAAAAAAGTTATGAATAAAAAAAAAAAAAATAAAAAATAAAAAAGTTTTTTTAATTTTTAATTTTTTTTAATTTTTTAAATTTTATTTAATTTTTATTTTTTTATTTATTTGTGTTTAAAATTACTATAAAATGTTAATTTATAGATAAATTGAGAAATAATTGAAATAAAAAAATAAAATAATAATAATAATTTTTATTCTGATTGATTTGTTATAGTTTACTTGGTTTAATAATGTATTTGTTAAATATTTCACTCTTCTCCATTAGTTTCTTTTCTCTCATACCCCCTGGGCCATTGTTTGAAACTTGGGCTTTTTTAAAGATAATTTGAGTATTTGCAATAGTTTCATTGATTTCATTACTGATGTTTTTTGTGTTTAGTGATTTTTCAAATATTACTCTTTGGAATATTAAAGAATTTGTGACCTTTTCAATTTCGCAGTTTACTATTAATAGTTCCCCAACCTTGAATGTTTTGCCCTCCAAATAACTATTGATACTATAGTTTACTTTGTTAATATTTCTATTGCCAAATACATCAATGTAATTTATTATCCCGAAATAATTGGAAACTCTTGAAAAAATTATTTTACATGGTGTCTCTTTTTTTACTTGAAACGAAAATTTGATAAAACCTTTTCTAAATTCTAAAATTTTCAAATTACTGATAAAATCTATTTCCAAACTATTGCTATTTAAATCATTCTTATATTGTTCTAAATATTCTTGACAGGAATTAAACTGGGCTTCCATTTTTTTAGTTAATTATAAATAAGATTTCTTTTATAATAAATACAATAAAAATAAAAAATAAAAATTATTTTGTTTTTATATAAAAATAAATTAAATTAATTAATAATAATTTAAAAGTTATTTCTTTTTTTAGAAAAATAAGCCGAAAAAATAATAGCTGAACGTGTGAAATTCTTTTTTTTTTTTTTTTTTTTTCTAATAATATAACACAAATAGTTGTATGTGTCAATGATTTTTATTTTAAAATAATTAAAAAAAAAATATATTAAAAAACACAAGATGTATTTACCATTTTTAGAAAAAAAAAAATAATATAAAATTCATACCATTCTTTGTTTTATTTTTAAAGTAAATTAATAAATAATGAATTTATTTATTTATTTGATATATTATAGTTAATTTTTTTATTTTTTTTTATTTTTCTTAGTTAATAAAATAAAATAAAATTAATTAATTGTTGTTATTTGTTTATAATTTCGTTCTTCTTGATATTGGGGATATATTTAATTTAATTTTTAATTCCTGTTGAGGTGAGTCTGATGCAGATGAGGATGAAAGTAAAGTTGGGGATGGATGATTTTGAAGTGTTGAGGATGCTGAGGCGGACGAGGATGGTGATGTTGTTGGTGATTTAAGAATTGATAAAACTAGTGGGGATTTTAAGGTTGCGATATATTTACTAGGTGTTCCGCCTTCGTCATCTGTTGATTTTTTATCATTATTATTTTCTTTATCTTTATTTACACTATTTCTTGAATTTATAAATTTAATTTGCTTATAAGGTGTTGTATTTGGAGAAGCTTCACCTGATCTATTTAATATTTTTTTTTCACTGCTATTTTCATATTCAGCAAGTTTTGCATCTTGACTGTTATTACCACCATTATAGTCACTATTGCTATTATCGTTATTATTGCTATTCGGTTTTAAATCACATGTGGGTGTAGAGATAGATGTGGTAGTGGTAGCGGTGGTGGTGGTAGTGGCAGTAGTGTTATTTGGTCGTTGGTTATTATTAACATTAAAATGTTGTGGTTGTGGAAAAAAAGGTTGTGAGAGTTCAGGAAAACTTGCTCTGGCTTGAAATATTTGATGGTTAATTTGCATTAAACGTTGCCATGCTAAAAATTGGGTAAAAAGTGGTGATAAATTTGACATTACTATTGAGTTGGCAGAATCGATTGGTTGCTGAAGTACTTCATTTGGTAAAATCCCAAATTCAGAAGGCATACTCGCAACTGAAAGCTTTCTTTGTTCATTTAATAATTTTTCTAATTGATAATGATTGTTATTTTTTATGTTGTAGTTTATATTATCGTTTTCATTTTGGATTGTTGGTGATCTAGTTGTCATATCAGGTTTATTAATATTATTTATATTAATATTATTTATATTATTATTATTATTATTATTCATATTATTATCCATATTTTTCATATTATTCATATTACTCATATTATTCATATTATTAATATTATTATTATTATTAGTGTTGTACATTAAATTCTATAAAATATAAATTAGTAAAAAAAAATATTTCTTGATAAATAAAAAAAATAAAAAACATACATTTTGGATTATATCTGAATTTTTTTCACCAAATAACTGTTTAATTAATTGATGGTCATAGAGTTGTTCCATGGTTTGGCCGTTTCCATATATATTTTCATAGAATGGGTCTTTAGACGAGGGTTTGTATGTATTATTAAAAAGTGGATTTTGGTTATTTGAAAAATCTAAAGTAAATCTTTCGCTTAAAATTGGAGTTTTTAGTATTTTCTTATTCTTATTTACAACAGGTCGGTATTGAGGTTGTTTATTAGCCAAGTCTATTTGACGATCACTATTACGTAAACCATGACTTTGAGATGGTGATGACTCATCCATTTGGGGATTGCTTTCTTTTATTCGCTTTAATTCCTCTAGCTTGCTTAAAAGAACTGTTGACTGTATAGGTTTGCTATAGTTATTTCTATTATCTAATGAATTGTTGACACCCTTATTATTTTTATTTTTATTTTTATTTTTATATTTTTCTGAATCTGACCCATCGCTATATTCATCATCGCTACCTGTATTTTTTGTAGTGCTACCTATTTTATTTGGATCACTTATATTTTTTTGAGTTTTCTCAACAAGACTTGAAATAAAGCTACTAGTAGAAGGGGATGGTGAAACTGTCGCCATATTTTTATTTGCTTTTTTTCCAGATAGTTGAGGTGTTGATGTATTACTTTTGCTTTTTTTTTCTTCGGGCGATGAATGACAAACTGTTAATTCCTTATCTTTTCTCTCTTTAGTTGTTTCTTTCTTTTCTTTTGGGGAAAATTCTTTGTCAATTTTTTCTAATTTTTCAAACCTTTTCCCAGTTTCTTTTTTCTGTGCCGAACTCTTGTTAGATCCTGCTGCTATTGTCCTCTCTTTTTTTTCTTTTGATTTTCCTGCTAATTTTGGTGTATTATTATGACTATTATTTGCTGATTGTGATTCTATATTTTTATTATGTTTTGGACATAACCAAGCTGATGTTTTATTTCCCAAAGAGGATGAGTCGACGCAAGTGGAATGATAAGCCGCATTACATTTATTACATTGCAAAATATCTCCACTATTTGAACTTTCTTCACAAACTAAACAATTTAATTTTTTTGATGAATTTCTATTTACATCTGGAATTACAAATCAAATTGTTAATATTTATGTATGTTAATAAATAAATAAAAAGCTATAGTATTTGGTTCTTACTCTTTGTATATTCTTGTGGAAGTTGAAAAGTTGAAGGGTTTACTGATGATAAATTATCAACTAAACTTGACATTGTACTACCAATAGGTGATGAAGATATTGGCAAATATGGCGGTGACATTTCTTCAGGAGATTGTTCTGACTCTTTAAAATAGGTTTTATTATTTATAATTGTGGTTGATGGTGATTTTGTAACATTAGTTTTACTCTGCAATTATTAATATTAAAATAGTAATTTTTTTTAGTTTTATATATTTTTGGGTTTATAATGATTTTAAATGTAAAAATTCATACTTTTTTATATTTACAAGAATTACAATACCAATCACCTTCTGGGATCTCTTCAAGGGGTGGATTTAAACACATTAAGTGAAATGACTTTTCACAACTGTCACAACAGAGCAAATCACCTCCATCTTTACACGATGAACAAAAATCGTCATTTATCAAACCTTCTTTATTTTTCAAAGCTCCAGATTTCTAAAAAAAAATTTTTAAAAAAAAAAAAAAAAAAAAAAAAAAAAAAAAAAAAAAAAAAAAAATGGAAAATTAGTATTATTAATTATAATAGATTATTTATAAATGGAATAAGGGTTGTGTACAAACTTTTTTATTTAAAGCTTGCTCTAAAAATTTTGAGGTTGGTTTACGTTGTCTCTTTGTTGATTGTTGTGTATTATTACAAGCAGTGGATGCAGTCACCTCATTATTTTGTGGGTTTGCACCTTCGGCATCAGACCCCAAGGCTTTTCTCTTTGTCATTCGATTATATGTATTATATAGATATATAAATACAAATAAACAAAATTAGAAAAGGGGATGGGAGGTATGTTTTTTATTATTTATAATTGGTTTAGAATATATATATAATATATTTAAAATTATATTTAAAATTAAATAAATATTTAATATTTATTATTTAGAATATTCGGTTTTTATTATATTATGTTTTTGAAAAAGAAAGTAATATTGAATAGAATAAATAATAATTTAAAAATATGTATAAGTATATATATATAAATTTCTAAAAATGAAATAAAAAAAAAATTATGAAATATAAAAAAATTAAAAAAAAAAAAAAAATTTTAAAATAAAAAAAATAAAAAAAAATAAAAAAAAAAAATAAATAAATAATTATTAAAATTTAATTATTAAAATAATAATAAACTTAAATGCTTTTGTATTCCCATAAAATATCTATTCGGTGATGTATTTATTTTAAAAAACTTTGTAATTTAAATTTAAAATAATAAGATTATATAAAGAAAAGAAATTTTTCAAAATTTTTTTTTCCTTGGTGTGTATTTTCCATATGAGAAATGATAAATCCTCTATTAGAAAAAAAGTAATCCAGACCCTTTTACTTTTGATTAGCAAACCGAAATAAAAAGATCCATAGGAAAAAGGGTAAAACAAAAAAAATGGCTAATCCATAAACCAATGATGAACCACCCTGATCCACGTTGTGTTTATTAAAGGTCAGATTCCTTTTTTCAATTTTATTTGATTTTTTTTTATCAAAATTTATTAACCCATATCGATTCTATATCTATTTAAATTTAAAAATAAATGGATGGGAAAAAGATTGGACAATGGAATCTGACCAAACCTTTACCACACTTAATGTAAGTTTACATAATGCTAACTAAATAAATACTTTAAAAATAGTACACATATTTTGTTTGAAACTAGTTTTTTTTATTTGTTTTTTTTTAAAATTTATAAACGAAATTTTTATTTCTTTTTTTATTTTTTTTTTTTTTTATTCTTTATTAAATATATCAGTTGAATCAATAAAATGTTTTACAAAGGTTAATTTATCAGGAGAGTATTTATTGGTGATAAGTATAAGGTGGTTTTGTGCCCATTCCATCAATTTGAGTTGGCTCTCCTTGATTTGAACATTTTCATCTGATAAAGAGAATATTGACATTATAATACCATAAATGGCTGGTAAATAGGTTGGGGGATGACCCAATACATCAATTTCAGTTGGTGAATTTAATTCTAACGAGTGGGTGTAATATTGAATGGCCATATTATAATTATCAATACCACCCAAACTATACAAGGTCTAAAATTAAAATAAAAAAAAATTAATATTAATTGATGTTTTATTTTGTATTTAGCGTTCTACAATACATACCTCGGCATATTTAATATAAAAGATATAATTGATTGGTGCATTAAGAATAACCTCTTCTAAACAAATCAATGCTGTGCTATATCTGTATAATTAAATAAAACATCTGTTAATAACCTTTACATTTATTTCAAATATCTATATATAATATTTACGATAAAAATGTAATATGTAATGATGATAATTCTAACCAAGCCTCTATATCACACATAAAAATTTGAAGATAGGTATTTAAAACTTGAATTGCTTTAGTGAGATTACCTTGGCATTTAAAAATTGATACTTGTCTCTTATAACTCATCTAAATATTAAATTAAAATAATTAATATCCAATTTTTAACCATTTTATAATACCATTATAACTATTACTATTATAATTGTTGCCTTATTATTACTATTAGTATTACTATTATAAACAATGATACATACTTGATCAGCAGGATACTTTTCTAAAATTGAATTATAAATATCCAAAGCATCTTTTAATTGAAAATTGGACTCATGGATCATAGCTTGTAATCTTTGAACACGTACACTTTCTCTACCAAATTTAGATTTTAAAATATTAAAGAGTTTATTGGCATTTTCGTCATCACCACATTCTAAAAGAGAAACCAATACCTGTTCAATAATATCATAGGATTCTTGAGCATCTAATTTTGAGATGTATTCATTAACCAACTTTAAACCATACTTTGATACTAAATTTGATTTACGTGCTTTGCTTTTTCTTAAAAATCTAAGTGTATCTCTAACCAAAACCCAATTGAATGATCTTGATTCTCTAATTTTATTTTCAAATTTATTTAATTCGATTGAATCCGAACTTGATAACATTAACATTTCTGCCATCTTTTACTATTATTTATTGTATTATGTTATTAATTATTGTTGTAATTATTAAACATTAATGAAATCAGTTTTATGGATAAAAAATTTGAAGATAGAAAAATTAAAAAAATTAAAAAAAAAAAAAAAAATTTATTTTAAAAAATTAAAAAAATAAAATTAAAATTTTTTTTTGAAAATGTATACAAATAAATATAAGTAATAGCTCAAAAAAAAAAGAATAAATTTCAAAAAAGATTAAGCTTATCCCTTTTTTAAACAATAATTCTTAGTATAATATTATTAAAAATATATATATATATTATTGGAAATATAAAATAAAAATATAGTTAACACTCAACCTGTTGTATAAACATTACAATGATTTAAAAAAGGAGTTATTCAAATAAACTATTTCTATCTTTTATTTATTTAGAGTTTTTTTTACCAATTCGTTTAAAAAAAAACGATAAAATAAAAAATTAATTTTTATAATTAATTTTTTTTTCGTTTTTTTTATTTTTTTATTTTTTATTTTTTTTTATTTTTTTATTTTACATTTTCTTTAATATATTTCAAAAATCTCAAGATGAATAATGGAAGAGGTGGAGTGTTATTTGTAGAACCAGTTTTTGATACATCAGGTTATTGTTCGACATATGTATTTTCAGAATCACAAGAATGTTATTTAGTTGATCCCAGCGAATCAACCTTAAAAGGATTATTGGGCGCTGATGGTATTGGTCTATTAAGAACAAACAATATATTGCTTACATCCTTATCATGGAAAAAAATTGGAGGCTTAATTGGGGTTCTTTTATCACTAAAGGAAACAACGAATATAGTTAAAATCTTTGGTCCCCCAGGTATCTTTACATTTTTTAGAAATGCATCATTCCATAATAAAAGTAACTTATTCAGAATTTATGAACTGGATGACTATAACTACAATCAAATTGGTGAAATATTTCAAATTAAAAGTATTCCAATTCACTCTATAAATACCAAATTTATAGATGTTCCAGAATCTAATAGTTACGAATTTGATAATAACCCCAATGAAAATAATAATAATAATAATAATAATAAATATAATAGTTTTAATAATAACAAGAAAAATAATAGTGAAAATAATAAAAATATGATGAAGTTTCCAGTTACTTTAAATAATAAAAAATTACCAACAGTTGTTCCTCTATCAAAACCATATAATTCACTTTTTTCAAATAATAGAAAGGATAATAATTATCACCCAAAGATTTCACCAAATATTTGTTATTTATTTGAAACATTACCAATTAGAACAAGATTTGATAAAGAAAAAGCAAATAGTTTAGGTGTTTTTAATGGAAGAAAATATAAAGAACTTACAAATGGATTTGATGTTGTAAACGATTTACCAAATGGAAGAATAGTTAGTCCAAATGATATTTATAAATTTGTAGATGGAACTTGCTTTGCATTTATCAATTGTCCAGATGAATCATATTTTGATTCATTATTTGAAAATCCAATATGGGAACCAATTTTCAGTAAACAGAAAAAACTATCTTTTGTTTATCATTCAAGTCCAAAAGAAGTTATAAATAATCCTAAATTTATTAAATTTATGGAAAAATTAACAAATAAACCAACAAATGAGGAAATGGAACAATTTGAAATCGATAAAAAAGATGAAAGGTTAAGTTTAGAACAAGATAACCAACCAACTACTACCAAAAATACAGAAGATGGATCAGAATTAGAAATTAGCTTAGTATTTGATGAATTTGAAAGAAGATCAACCCTTCAACCACCAATTCAAACTAAACACTTTTTAACATCTAAAGAATTTTCGAAAAATCAAATTTGTGAAAGTAAATTACTAGAAAATTTAAAGATATTAGTTCCAGATTTAACACCAACCGATGAAAACAACGAACCAACATCAATTAATGTATTAAATGAACTATTGAAATCCAAAATATTAAAAGATTCATTTTTTGCAGTAGAGAGTAAGGCCAAGCATATCATTTCCCCAGTTCGTAGTAGAGGTAGAATTACAGAGAAAAATATAATAAAGATACCACCAATTCAACATCTCAACTTGGATGATAAAGGTGAAAAAGATAAAGCAACTATTGAGCACATTAAAAATTTCCGTAACAATATGGAGAAAGGTTTAGAGTATCCTAAATTAATGTTTTTAGGCACAGCTTCAGCATCTCCAAATCTTTTTAGAAGTGTATCAGGTATTTTAGTATCACCTGACGAAAACAACCATATGCTGGTAGACTGTGGTCAATCATCAATCAGCCAATTAGAAATATTTTTTGGTCGAAAGAAGACAAAACAAATTCTTATGGAAACTCATTTAATTTGGGTATCACATTTACACGCCGATCACCATCTTGGTATTGGTTCCGTAATCATTGAAAGAAATCTCGCATTCAAAGAAGCCGGTATTGATAACCCCCCTCCATTAGTAATTTTAGTACCAAACACCTTATACCATTGGTTTGTCTGACTTGAAAGACTTTTTCCTGCGATAATATTGAAGTTATAGGTACGGGTGCTAAATCTCTGATTCTCCAAGAAGTCTGTGCAAAACTATCTTTAATATCATTAACAAGTGTACCAGTTGTTCATTGCAATGCATCTTTTGGTTTGGTCGCTACATTTAAAAACAAAGATATTCCAAAAGGTTACAAAATTACATATTCCGGTGACACACGTCCCTCAAAACTATTGGTAGCTGCTGGTAAAAACTCTGATCTTTTAATTCACGAAGCTACTTTCACTGACGAATATCAAGAAGATGCAGTCGCAAAAAGACACTCAACATTCTCTGAAGCATTAGGTGTAGCAAAAGATATGAAGGCTAAACAAACTATTTTAACTCATTTTTCACAACGTTATCCATCAGTAATTCGTCTAACTCAAAGTAACAATCTAAAAATTGGTGACAACTATGAACCTGTAAATACAAACCGTCCCTATGCATTGGCATACGATTTAGTTAGATTCTCACCTTCAGATTTTTCATTACTTCAAGAGTTAAATTTCACTTTGGATGAACACATAACCTCACAAGAAGAACAATCAAAAATTAAAGAAAGAGAAACAATAAATGAAAGAAAAAAAAGAAAACTTGGAGTTACAACTAACGAAAATCAAAATGAAATTGAAAACAAAGATCAAAATGAAAATGAAAATGAAAATGAAGGAGAAAAAGAAAGGGAAAGAGAAAAAGAAAAAGAAAAGAAAGAAAAACCTAAAACAGTAATTAAAATACCCAAAATTGCAAAGAAAAAGGTTCCAAAATTCATAAATCCAAATCAACTTATGGGATCAGAAATATTTTATACAACAACTGTTTCAAGTTGTAAAATGCATAATATAAATAATAGGAATAATAATTATAATTTTATACCACTTAAAAATTTAAATAATAATAATTTTAATATAAATAATATCATAAGCAAAAAATCATTAAATATTTTAAAACTAATAAAGAAATAAATTTATATATATATGTATTTATTTATATAAAATAAAAACATAAAAGAAATGTAAACTATAGTCTATTTTAATTTTAATTTCGATAAATAAATATGTGTTTTTTATTTAGTGGGGACAATCTGTGGTATATTATAATTGAATTTGTGGGTTAATATTTTCTACTTTTGATTGCTGATCGGCTGAAATGGATTGTTGTGGTTGTGGTTGTTTATAGTTATCATTATTTGCAACTGTGGATAATATACAATTCCAACCAGCACCAACAAGATTACTAATTAAAAGTCTAAATTGTGGTGGAATATATCTAAATAATAATAAATTGGTTGCAGGCCAAATCATTAATGATTTTTGGTAAATACCTATAAACTCATTGCTCATCTTTTCTTTCCATAATTCAAAACTGAAACCTCCATTCTTAAATATTTGTACACAAGATATATTAACGGTAAAAAGGTATGGTGCAAATAAAGTTTGATCTAATGCAACTTTGGTAATAGCGGCTCTCCATCCAGTTGTTTTAATATTTCTATCTAAAAATCCAAACCATCTAAAAATAATATAATTAATTTTAAATTAGTATTTTGAATATCCATAAGTTTATTTATTTATTTATTTATTTATTTAAACCTACACATGAATATGTGGTACAATAATAAAAGTACCAATGGTACACATCATCAATGTTCTTTTTACATCGTATTCTTTTTTTTCAATTTTTTGTGCACATATATCACCAATACCAAATACTACTGTACCTGTTAATGATTTGGTTACGATTGGTCTTTCTGCTAATGAAACCTCATAAAGTTTAAAAACTCTTGAATTAACTATTTTATTTAAAAATCCAAACATTTTTGATTTTTTTTTATGATTTGTTACACAGTGGGTGTTATTATATGGGTGAGATAATAATTATTATTTGTAAAAAAAAATAAAAACAATAAAAAAAAAAAAAACAAATATTTCTTTATATTTTTTTGGATATTTTATCGACACCAAATAATTATTTATTTATCTAATTAATTTATAGAAAAAAAAAAATTAATAAAAATTAAAAAAAAATTTTAATAAAAATAAAAAAACGAAAAAAAAATAAAAAAATAAAAAAATAAAAAAAAAGAAAAATGTGTAACTCTTTTTCTTTCCTTACCTTTTTTAAATTTATTTATAAACATAAATTAATTTATTGGAAATGTTTTGTTTAGTTTCTTTTATAAATTATTTATTTAATTTATGATTGTTTTTAAAAAAATGAGAAAAATTAAAATTTTTTTTTTTTTTTTTTTTTTTTTTTTTTTTTATATTTTTTTAATTTTTTTTTTTAAAAAAATCTTTTATTTTTTTTTAAAGTGTTTAAACAATAATATTGTAGATTATATATAAACAAAGTAACCATATTAATACTGTTATAATATATATATATTATTATTTTTGGGTATAATCATAAAAGAAAAAAAAGAAGAATGAGCTACACTAAAGTTAAAGTTAAAACAGTTAACAGCAAAAAATGTTTAGGTTTTGAAGGATTCAATAAAAGACATTACCCATCACCATTAGAGCCAATTATGGGCAAAGAGGAGTTTGAACAGGTTGTTAATAGAATCAATACAGTTACAAAGACAAGATATTCAAAGACATTTTTTATACCATTACTTATCATCTTTTTAGGAATTTGTTTAATATTTATTGGTCTTTTTAAGGGGCAATTCGGTGTCACAGGCTATGGTATCGGGTTTGCTGGTATTGGTACTATTGTTTTAGCAGTTATGATATTTTTATTCCAACGTAAAGTAAGTTCAAGTTTTAAAATCATTATAAAATAAATATATATATATACATATATTAACGTTTGAATTGTATAATTTAGATTAAAAAAAATATTGAAACATCTCTTAAAGAAGCTAATGCTTATTTTGCAGATAGAAGAATTTCATTTACTTTAGTTGAAAAGCATGGTAAACCAAGAATGGTTAAATCTGGTACAAAAGAAAGAGTAGAAAGAAGACATAAAATATATATCGAAATTAGTTTCCCAACACCAGGTGTTGAACATACCGTTGCTGGTGCAATTGGTGGTTTCATTTCAAATATTTTACCAGGTGGTAATAATAGTGGTCTATCATTTGGTTTCACCCCAAATGTTAATGTTGGTGGTTACGACGTTCAAGCTCCACAAGTTAATGTTAAACCTCAATTTAGTGAATCTGGTCGTCCAGAGTTTGTATTCTCTGTACCAAGCGTATCAAATGATTTTAATATTTCAATTGATGCCGCTGATGCAACTAAAAAATTACTTGATCATGCAAATGATTATTCCTAAAATATACACCCAAAAAAAAAGAAAAACTTACCATAAAAAAAAGACAACCAAACCAAACAACATTATATCCTTTATATTAAAAAAGTGTAATAAAATTAGCAATCAATTAATTAATTATTTTTTATATAAATATTTACCTAAAAAATAATTATTTATTCAAAAAAAAAAAAATTTTAAATTTAAAAATATTTTTTTTAAAAAATTTTTTTATTTTTTTTTAAATTCACATTTTTCATAACTATCTCTTTTTTTTATTTTTTTTTATACTTATATAATTTCAGGAAAGATGGTAGAGGAAAAGAGTTCATTCGAAGAAAATAGTAAAAAAATAATTATAAATGATCAACAGGTTTATGGTGAATTTAAATCAAGAATTGAACCATTCAGCGACGAAAGTAAATTACCATATGAACTATTATTAGAAAGAAAGAATTTAGTGGATATCAAAGTAGATGAGCAAGAGTTTAGAGGTAGAGAAGAAACATTAAAAGCACCAGAACCCACCCAATTTCAAAATGCACAATTAAAGCTTTACCAAATCGTAGATACAATTAATGAATGTTTTCGTAAAAAACCGGATCAGCTTGAAGCACCACAATCACAATTAAACGACAATAGCAATAAAGTTATTAAATGTATGTCATGGCATCCACAACATAGAGTTTTAGCAGTTTGTAATAAAAATGATGTTATCTATATCTACTATTTCCCAAACCAAGATATGTATGGTATGAATAGTGTAAAGCCATTGACACTCTGGTTTGAACTACAATCAAAAGTTTGCGATATTCAATGGAAACCATTCTTACCATATACATTAGCTGTTGCAACAGAGTATGTAATATAATAATAACCTATATAAATTCAAAACATAATATATTAACATAATATCGTTTAATAATATTATTTATAGGAATGGTGTTGTTATTTGGGAAATTGACATTAGCGATTTAAAACCAGAACTTAAAAAACTTTCAATTCATTATAAAGTAAACCAATCCAAAACATGTTCAAATATTTTAAACTACCCATATTATCAACCAACAACAATTACATGGTCATCAGATGGTTTACAATTAGCATGTGGTTCACCAAAACACCCCTCAATTCTTTTATGGGATGTTGCCTCAAGAGTACCAACATTTATACCACGTCATTATGGTAACAATTTTTTAGTATGGTCACCTAAAAATTATTATATCCTATCATGTGGTGGTGAATATTCAAGAATTTATGACGGTTCAAATTGGAGTTATAATGATAAAGAATGGAAGATGTTATCAAACTATCAAGTATTTATTATTATTATTATTATTATTATTATTATTATTATTATTATTATTATTATTATTATTATTATTATTATTATTATTAATATTTTATGAAAAGAATGATACTAAATTTTTTTTTTCTTTTAAAAGACAGGTGCATGGAGCGAAAAAGGGGAATATTTAGCAGTTGGTAGTGGTGATAAAATTCATTTTATTCAATGTATTAATAAAGCATTCGACTCAGGTGGCGAAACAGTATATATCGAAAGAACATCAACATATAAAGTACCACAACAAAACAATTTACCCAGTACATCATCATCAAATAACGATCTCTATTTAGGTGGTTATATTAAAAAAATAGCTTGGTCTCCAGATAATCAAAGATTGGCTGTAATCTTTTATTTAAATAGCAAAAGTAAAACCAATGATCAATATTGTGCAATTTATAAAGTTAAAACCTACCCAAAATTCTCGGTTACCCCAAGAGGTTATATAAGGTCAAAAGATCAACCAATCAACTCTATTTCATTTGTACCAAATTATAAAAAA